CAAGAACTCGATCGCGTTCTCGCACGCGACCTTGCCGACGCTCAAGTTCGGCGCTGCCTGCTGCCTGATCGACTGCGCGACGAGCACCGCAGCGTCGGCACTTAAGGGCGCCTGGTCGCTGGACACAGGGAAGGAGGAGTGGTCGCTCTTGTACACCACGAAATCTGGTTTCGTCATGACAGGGCGCAGCACCTTGGTCAGCAACTCCACGTCCGTGCACACGGCGCGGGTCGTCGACTCGGACCCGTCGCTGGCGCCATCATCAGCCATACGGTAGAGCCGATCGTCGGATAGGGCCGAGCGCCGGGTATGGCATCTGGCAGCTGGTGCCCACTGAACTTGTGGAGCCAAAACGTTTACGGACACATAGATCGGGGCGCTGCTGATTCAAAACTCACCGAAACTCCCTCCAGGAATGCATCCAGGGCCCCGTCCAGGGCCCCATCGGAGCTCATCGGGAGCTCATCGGGATCTTTCGATTGGGATCCGATGAGTCTCCGACGAGTTTCCGATGAGGTTTCGATGAGTTTCCGAAGAGTTCACGATGAGTTCCCGATGGGTTTCGATGAGTTTCCGATTAGTTTACGATGAGTTTCGATGAGTTTCCGAAGAGTTTCCGAAGAGTTCCCGATGAGTTTCCGATGAGTTTCCGATGAGTTTCGATGAGTTTCCGATGAGTTTCCGATGAGTTTCGATGAGTTTCCGAAGATCGATCCGATGAGTAGATAGTCGACGACGGGGGGGGTCGGCGAGCCCCCCACCCCTGAGCCCCCCCTCCGCGCGGGGCGGCGGCGGTCCACGACACCAGCCAACGCCTGCTCGAGCGTCTCGTTCGCGGGCACCAGCGTCGCGCCGTCGTCGGCAGCCTGGCGACGACGACGACGACGACGACGACGACGACGGCGACGACGGCGACGACGGCGGCGGCGGCGGCGGCGGCGGCGACGACGTCGACGACTACGACTACCACCCATGGGTGGTCGTCGTAGTCGTCGTCATCGTTGTCGCCATCGGTGCCGGAACGACGGGGGAGGACGCCGCCGACGACGCCGCCGACGACGACGACGACGACGACGACGACGACGACGAGTAGAGATGGCCTCCGTGGCCGTCTCCTGCGCCGTCTCTGGCGGCGGCGAGGCCGTCTCCTGCGCCGTCTCTGGCTGCGGCGTGGGCGCAGCCGAGCTGGCCACGCTGTCCACCGCCGACGCCGCCGCCGTCGTCGGTGGCGTCGGCGGCTCCGCCGACTTCCCCGCACGCGGGGTCGCGGGCGGCGTGGCAACCTCGAAGGGCGCCATCGCGCGCGCCCCGCGGAAGCGCGCCAACTGGGCGCGCGGAGGAAGGTTGACCTTCCTAGTGGCCTCGAAATAGCCCAACATGCTCGATCGAGCCAGAACGCCGATCGCGATCGATCGAGCCAGAACGCCGACGACGACGACGACGCCTCGCGAGGCGTCGTCGTCGTCGTCGTCGTCGGACGATGGTTTCCGACACCGCGTGGGGCGTTCGCCCCCGAACATCGAGATTTCGCGCCGCGGCCCCGTGCCCGCGAGCACTGGGGCCCGAGATGGGCCCCCGTAGCGCGTTCAACCTTGATCGCGCGAGGCGCCTCCGCGCCGTCCGCCCCCGTCCTCCTCCTCCTCCTCCGCCATTTCCTCCTCGCCCGTCCTCCTCCTCAGTAGGGTTCGGGGCATCTGGGGCAGTGAACAACTACACGGATGGAGGGCGGGTACTTTCAAAATGACGCTCTCGCCCCGCTCACTGTTTCACTTACTTTTTCATGTTAAGCGCGGCGCCCGCTTATTTAACGAGCCGCATCCCTAATTGTCTTAACCCGCGCCGCCTACCGGCAGCGGTGTACCCGACGGCCTCGTGGCAGTGTTCAACACGTACCACGTGATCGGGCATTATTTGATACGCACGCAGTGCAAACTCATCGGACACCATCGGAAACTCATTGGTAGCGCATCGGAAACTCATCGGATTCGATGGGCAGGCTTAAGGGTCGTTTCACCTGCGGCCCACTAGACTGCTTCAAGACGGCTCAAGATGGCCCAGAGACGGCTCATGATGCAGATATGACTCATAACTGCTATTGTAAGAAAAGATATGTGTCATAACTGCTATTTTTGCAGATCTGACTGTTAACTGCTATGTTTTACATATATTTGCCATAACTGCTATGTTTCGCAGATATGGGTTGTAACTGCTATTTTTTGCAGATATGACTTAGGACTCTTATGAATTTACAGATATGCTCAACATGATATAAACATGCGCATAACTGCTATTTTTTTGCATATATGATTCACAACCGGTATTTGTTGCAGATATTTTCTGCAACCGGTATTTTTACCGGTATCGAACCTCAGGGTCCCCCTCCTCCTCCTCCTCCTCCTCCCCCTCCTTCCTCCTCGCCGGACAGCACGGCCTGCCCGGAAGCAGCGTGGCGGCGCGCAGGTCTGCAAAGCAGGCAGGTCGCAGGCAGCGTCATAGAGAGCGGCTCTTTGAATCAGAGCCCCCCGCGTGTCTTCCAATAGCACGGGGTAGTGCCCGGAGACCTCGTCAGGGTGCCAGAGTGGGTAGTCGGGCCCGCTGCTCATCGGGCTAAGGATGACCCTGACGCCCCCCTCCGACTCCCGGGCGCTCTTCCATGCCCCGGCCGCCTGGAGGGCGGTGGGGCGCCCTCCCTCCCCGCGGTCGGCCCTCTCAGGGACCTTGAAGTGGCGCCAGTGGGCCCTCCCCTCCTCCTCCTGCATGCAGAGCTCCGGAGGGACCGCCTCGGGCGTCAACAGGGCGCTGCTGAGGTTCAATGGGAACAATCGCTCGCCCCGCCGCAGGAGTGCGAGTGCGGCGCTCCCCCAGTTCCCCCCGTCTCTCCAGGCAAGGAGGAGGCGGCGCGACCTGGCGCACCGGTCCCCAAGGAGGTGGGCGTGCACCACGCTCTCCGCAGTGTCGTACCCACCCTCCTGCAAGACCTCGCGGGCCCCCCCCAGATCCTGGTCCAGAGGTCCGCCCAGCACGACGAGGGTGGCGGCGTGGGAGAGCGCGTACCGCACGAAGTAGAGGGCCTCTCGGCCGGCGGGGTCGCTGCCACTGGAGCAGGTGACCCAAGTCTCCTTCGCCGCGGTCCTGGCCCGCCCGGCCCGGTCGGCCGCGAGTCGATTCTGGTGGACCTCCCACCAGGGGTGGCTCACGGCTGAACCGGGATTGGGGGTGGTGGCTCCGATCCGCGCCCCCATCTCTCCGGCCACCCGGCAGTAGGGGGAGAGGGTCGCACGCCACTCGAAGACCTGCACCCCGGCCAAGGGTCTGGCGGGCGGTCCCCGCGCCCGGCGGCGCTCCACCAGCTGGTAAGCCAGCTGGCGTCCCTCCTCCGAGTCTCCAGGGAGGACCAAAGGGCGGCCTTTCTCCGCCCCCGCGAGCACTTCCCTCCAGGGTCCCTTGAGGTCGATCTCCTCCAAGCCGAGGCGGTTCATCTCCTCCTGGACTACGCTCTTCGTCTCCCGGGAGATGAGGTCCATGCTGCTGTTGTGCTTGGTCCAGATTCCCGCCGTAACCGCGTGGAACCCGTAGCGGGTCTCCAGGAGCTGGAGGAGGCGCAGTCCGTAGCGGGCGAGGCGGTTCTTCGCCGTCCGCTTGTTGAGCCAGATCTCCGTGTCGGTGTTGTCCGTGACGTAGAGGACCAGGCGCCCCTCCCATCTCGGGGCCTGGGCCACCGCGAGCACCAGGAAGGTAAACAGCTCGCAGATGGCGATGATGTCGGCTCCCTCCCCAAAAACCGCGTGGAACGGCTCCATGACCTCCTTGACATCCATGGCCCCGTACACCCCGTTTGGCCAGTCGGCGGCCCCCACCCGGGTCTCGGTGGCGCCCCCTCCTGTCCAGACCAGCCCCTCCATTCCGCCGGGGAGGGCGAGCCGCTCCTGGGGTTGGAGGACCCCCTTCAAGCCTGTGTTAAAGTGGGTGGCCCAGGCCTGGGGCGCTCCCGCGTAGAGGCGGAAAACTTCCAGCGCCTCCCGCCACTCGTCCCACGCGTCCTTCTCCCTCCCCTCGCTGCTCTCCTTGATCTTGACCCAAACCCCAGCCGGGTCCGCAGTGCGGAGGAGCCGGTCTACCGCCCCCAACTCGGGGCGGAGGGGGGGGCAGGTGATGGCCGCGAAGTTGAGGGTGCCGCGGAGGACCTGGACATCCTCCAGGGCTACCTGGGTGTTCCCCGTGCCGTAGGCCGGGTCACTCAGCATGATCCGGATCTTGTTGACCTTCTCCTCGGGGAGCCGCAGGGTCTCCTCCTCCGTGTTCACGTGGACCCCCCAGCAGATCTGGTCCACGCGGAACTCTCCCTCCTCGCCCTTCTTCTCCGCGTTGATCGCAAGAGGCCCGAATACTCTACGGGCCCCCTCCTCGGCCAGCCTGGCGGCCACCCAGGGGCGCCGTCCCAGGAGGGGCTCGATGAGGACGTCGTCGTCCATGAGGAGGTGCGAGTGGTGGGGCACGTCGTCGTGCCATCCTGGGTCGGCCGGCCGGTGGCGGTCGTGGTACTGCTTCAGGGCCGTCCCGAAGGCCATGTACTCCCCCGGGCCCCCGATCCACCCGAAGGTGAGGACGAGGTAGATGGCCACCAGGTTGCCCTCCATCCCGACCACCTTGCCAGGGAGCTCCGTGGCGAACATGCCGGCATCCTCCGCCCGTAACCAAATCCAGCGGAAGGCCTCCGCTATGTCCCGCTTGGCGATCAGGATTTTTACCCCCGGGTGCCGCTCCTTCCACCAGGTGATCTCCCTCGCCAGTCCCCGATGGCGGGGCTGCAAGGCTGGGGGGTGGAGGTGCCTGTGCCCCGTCTCGTTCATCGCCCTCTGGTCGTGGATGAACCTTCCTTCCTCCGAGATCGCGCGGTCGGGGTTCATCTTCGGCACCCTTCCCCAGGGGGGGGAGAGGGCCCCGCTTAGGTAAGGTTCCGAGTCCTTTCCGCAGAGGAGGACCCTCCCCCTCTTGGCGTCCTTCCACAACTTCTCCATCGCCTCCTCCATGTGCCCCTGCACGCTCATGTGCGGTTTGGAGGGGGCCCGAACCTGGGCCAGCGGTTGGCGGGCGGGAACCCCGCCCTTCACCATCTGGTGGAGGTAATTCCTGAGGTCGGGGTCGAGCAGCTCGCATAGCTCCTCCTTGAAGACCCCGTCCAGGTTGTTCCCCCACCGGCTCGTCCAGGCCTCTCGGTAGCAGTCGACTGCTTCATTCCAGCCTCCCGCCGCCTGGACTAGGCCATCACCGAGTCGGGCCCCCTCCTTCACAACTTCGGGGGAGTACTCGGGGTTGTCCGCACAATGGGTGCACAGCTCCTGCGCCCAGTCCTGAGCGGTTCGGCCCGCTCTCCCCGGCGCCTGGTTCCCCGATTCCGTCCCGCTTCCCAGGCTGCCAGCCGGCCGTTGGGGGGGCATCCAGGGTTGGCTCCCTCCCCCATCGCCCCCCCCTTCTCCTGAGGGCCTGAGTTTACCATCTCCCGTGGCCCCCCCCCCCCTCGAGGGCGTGGTGGGTGGGTGTTTCGTGGCCGTCCAAATGGCCAGCGCCACGGCGAGGGCGAAGCGCGGGGGGTATTGGGCGGCTTCCCTTGTCCGTTTGATGCCCGTCCCTGGGACGTTATCCCTGAGTTCCACGTGCTGGTGCACCGGAGAGAGACCGGGGCAGGGTCTCCGGATCTTCGTGAAGAAGGGGGCCAGGTTCGCGGAGACGACCAGCCAGCACCCCTTGCGATAGAACTGGTGGGGGGACGAAGCGTCTGAGGGATGGAGGCCCCAGGCGCACATCGTTCCCGGGATGATCACGGCACCGGTCTCCTCCAGGATTTCCAACCACTCTGGGAGGTCGTAGACCTTGGGATATATCCCTCTATGCTCCTGGTTCTCGAAGATCCATCCCTTCCTCCATTTATGAAGGTTCCGCATGCACCTCACCGTGGTCTGGGAGAGGGCGTTTCCCAAGACCTCCTTGCCGTTTACACCGGTCCCCTCCGGCTTCTCCCAGGTGCGGGTGCCCCCTTTGGTGTTGTGGTCGCAGAAGGAGGTACACGGGTTTTCGAACATCCACGCGTTGGCCACTCCCGGGCCCGGGGGAGCATCTGCCTCTTTGACCAGGGCCTCGGCGACGTCGGGGTTCGAGAGGTCGTGGCCCTCCCCCCTCTCCGACTCCTTGGGGTGCAGGGGGTTCCGGTACAGCTCCACGGGCTCATCCGCCTGGATGCCCAGCCGCTCCACCGCGCGGGTCACCTCCGCGGTTCCCGCGAACACCTCCTTGAAGCGGGGTCCCCAGCGGAAAGCGGGCGTGTCCCCCAAAGCTCCGGGGTGCTCCGAGACGAGCTCCCCCCACAGCTGGAGGGCGGCCCTGATTGCGGGTGCCCGGGCAGGCTCTGCCGCTGCAGCCCTCCAGCCAGCCCTGAGGGCCGCCTCCCTCGCCGCGGGGCGCTCCTCGCATGCCTGGCACTTGACGTAGGTGCTCCAGGAGACCTCCGTGCCTCGGGCGTCGCGGTTGAGGAACTCCTCCCAGCCATTCATGACCGTGGCCCCCCTCCGAAGAGTCTGATGATGGAGGGCTCCCAGGCACGCATCCCCTCCCGCTTCTCCCGAGGTCGGTGTTCGGGGGCGGAGGGCGCGGGCGTGCCCCCGGTGGATCAACGTCCAGGCCTGAGGTGAGCCCTCCCCGGAGCGGGCTCCTTCCAGAAGGTGTGTGGTCACCTTCCCACCGTAGTCCATCATCGCGACGTTTAGGACGACATCCTCCAGGAGGCGGAGGGGGAACACGACCAGGGCGCGGTAGTCCTTGTCGTGGTGTGGGGCAACCGCGTCGTGGATGAAGATCCGAAGGTCCGCCTCCCCGACCGCCAGCTTGGCCTCCGGAGGCCCCGGTGATTCTCCCGCCCGAACTGCCTGGTCCAGCTGCTCCGCTCTGGCCGTGAGCGTGTGCGCCCAGACCTCCGTGAGGCTGGGCGGCCCCCTTCCCTCACGGGCCCAGAGGGCGGCGCCCGCCGCGCTCAGGAGGATACACTGTTTTCTCTCGCAGTCCTCCTGGATGCCCAAGCGCTCCGCGAGGAGAGGGTCCTCTCTGAGGGGGGGGCGGTCGTGGAAGTCGAGCATGTCCCACTCCCCTCCATCCATTTGGAGGGCCCCCCGCCCTACCCCGTCCCCCGCGTCCGGGGCTTGGAGGAGCCGGGCGTAACCTCTGCGGTCGGGGGGGCGGACGTCCCCCCCCCGGGTGCCGCCGGGCTCGGGCGCGAGCCGATCGAGGCAGTCGGCGGCCTCCCGGACCAGCTTCCAGTTGGGTCCGTCCACGATCCTCCGGAGTACGGCGAGCACCCCTCCTGTCGCCGTCGAGGCCAGGTGCTCCTCCAGGAAGTGGTTCTTGACCGCGGTCTCCAGGTGCCGGGAGGGCCCCCCCTTGAGGAACTCCCGCACATCGGGGCGCGCGTTAATGGCCTGCATTCCGGCCTCCCGCGCCTCATCCTCGGGGTCGTCCGGGTCTCCAACTGGGTTGAGGCGATGCGCCTTATGGTGGTTCTCGGTGAAGCCGAAGTTCGGACCGTTGCGGTACTGATCCAACACGTCTTCCCGCCCGGGGAGGGGGGTGAACCAGTCATATTCCCCCCTGGTCGGGTCCCAGGCCCGGACGTGCGTGGGTGGCTCGCCCCCCCGCCCAGTTCAGGGCCCCCCCTGGAGGGCGGCCAGCCGCGCCGGTTGATCCTGTTCCGCCACCACGGGCTGGTCCTTCCAGCCCCCTCGGCGCACCAGCTCCCCCATGAGTGGGGCCGGCAGTCCCCGAGCGGGTCCCAAGTCGCAGTGGGCGTGGGGGCAGACGCCCCCCCTCCCTCACACCCCCGGTGGCTGACGTAGTCCCAGCAAAGCAGGAGGCCCCCCTGGTCCCTGGGAGTAGCCCCCCCCGCGCCAATGCCTTCCGCACCGCTCGGGCGTAATCCGGGGCTGTGGAGGGGGGGGGGGGCTCCCGCCACGGGGGCTGTCCCCTCCCCTTCCCCCTCGATCCCCGGTGAGGGACCTCCTGTCTGACCTTCCCCCGGCTCATCCCGCCGCGGCGTGCCGGCGGTGGTTTGGGCGGCGTGGAGGTAGCCACCCAGCATCTCCCCCTCCTCCGAAGTGGTGCTCTGGCTTCCCGCTCCGCCCCTTCCCGCCTCGAGCGGCGCGTCGAGGACCGGGTTGTCCCCGCCAGCCCGGGCGGCCGCCTCGTTCAGCGCATCCAAGGCCTCCTGGATAGGGGGAATCAGGTAGCGGATCTCGCCCTCTTCGTCGGCCAGGCAGGTGTGGCTCTCGTTCAGCACGAAGCCTCCCGGCGGCGCACTCGCCGAGCGGGGCTGCAGGGCTCGGCCTCCGGTGGCCCCTTCCCTCCCACGCGAAGGGGGGGGCTCCGGCGACGCCTGCCTCGCGGCCGGCCCCACTTCGTCTTCTTCCGGGTGGGGGCTCATGGCGGCGCCCCACTCCAGGGGGTCCACAGGCGGGCTTGATGCTGCCGCCTCCTCCCCCAAAGGGAGGGCCTCCTCCTCGTCCACCTCCTGCGCCCCTCCGCTCGTGCGCGGGTAGGCGCAAAGAAGAGCGGGGCCGAGGAGGGGGGAGGGGCCCTCGGTGGGTGGCCCCCGATTGGCGTTCGGAGGGGGGCGCGGGAACGCGCCAGGTCCGAGGGGGGGTTCTTCCCACCCACGACCGCCCCTCGGACACACGGGCCCGGGCCCGGGGAGGGCCCCCCCGCCCCGAGACTGGCAGGGTCCGATCCTCCCCCGACGAAGGCGCGGGGCAACGATCCGGTGGTAGTACTCCGTGGGGTCCTCGACGACGAACGTGCGGGGGATCTTCACGCGGGCTCTCCCGCGCACGTCCGGGGCTGTGGCATAGGCCGTCAGCTCCGGCAGCGCGGTCGGGTGGGAGCCCAGCTCGGCCTCGGACCGGAGCTCGTCCCGCATCTTCGCCCACCAGTGCCACGTGAGCTCCTCCCAGACCTCCATCAAGTCGGCGAGGGATAGGTACTCCGGCCGGTCCTGATGTTCGCGCAGCAAGAACCGCAGGGCGGTGGTCCTGGGTAGTGAGTGCTCCTGCCCATAAGTCAGGGCGAACACCCGGATCTGCGTCTGGGCGGCCTCCGCCCACGTGCCAAGGTCTGCGGGGGCCGGCGAGGGGGGCTCCCTCCTGCGCCCCTCCGCGGCGACGAGGGGCCCGGCGCCCGCGCCTCTTGCGACCGCGAAGTCGGCCACCGTGAGGGCGTTCGGGTCGGCGGGTCCCGCCTTATAAGGGGCACCCATCAGGCAGGCCGCCAAGCCATACGCAATCCGGTTGCTGAGCGGGAAGGGCCAGCCGACCTCCTCCAGCAGGGCGAGGGCCCCCCGGCCATGTCCGCGCAGGGTCAAGTAGAGCTCCCGCCCAAGATGGGCAGGTCCCACGGCCACCAGGAAGGTGCCGCATCCCCGCGCGAGGTGGCATACCCTCCGCGCGGCCCCTTGGAGGTATATGAGGTTCCCCCCCCCGTCCTCTTCCCTCGCGGGGGGGCGGTGCGCCCGCAGGAGCGCGGGAACGGAGGAACCCTTCCGCTTCCTTTCTCCGGGGACGACGGTTTGAGCCGATTCGGCGGGGGTTCCCTCCACCGGCTGGAGGGCGCGGGGGCTCTCCCCCCGCCTCCACGGGGGCGTGGGGCGGGGGTCCTGGGGCTTCAGCGGCAGCTTGGGGGAGGCCCCCCGCGGTCGGAGGGCGAGGGCCCGCGCCGCGCCCCCTGCCCTTCCCCATTGGGCAAGTTGGGCAGTGACCTCCTCCAGCCGAGGACGCACCGAGGGGAGGGGGAGCGGATTTTCCAAGTGCCCCCGGGCCGGCTCCAGAATCGCGGTCCGCACTCGGTGTGGCTTCCGGCCCACGGCCGCCGCCACCTCCAGCATCTTCGCCCCCGTCGGCTTGCCCGTGGCACCCGCCTGGAGGTGCAGCCCCAGCTCGAGCCGTGCTGTTCGGCTCCATCACCGGCGTTCCCCCCGCCCGGAGCCCCGGGGCGTGGCCCCTCCCCAACCTCAGCAGCTCCTCCTTGCTTGAGGGCGTGTGGAGCAGGCGGGCGGTGCGACCGCCTCGAGGGGGTGGGGAGGCAGATCTTCCCTCCGCGCGCAGGATGGGGCGCGGCTCCCCAAGGGCGTTGAACAGCGCTCCCCCTCCCCGAGCTTGCTGCCCGGGAGGGGTGACCCGCGCGTAGGGGTGGGGAAGGCGCTTGCAGGTCAGGAACTTCGCCCACTGCAGCAGGTCGGCCAGCGTACAGGGCTCCCCCCCGCCCTCACTTGCTTCCCCCAGCTGGGCATAGGTGGCCTCCGTGATTTCCTGTGCGTCAAATGGGGGGCGGGAGGCGTTGAGGCGCGCCTCGGAAGAGAGGCTCCAGGGTCCCACCGCCCACAGCGGGAACGTCAGCTCAACCTCCACTCCTGGCATCCAAATCCCCGCCCAGTCCTTCTTCCCTCCTCTCCCCCGCGCCTCTCCCCGCCCTATCCCTCGGGCAGTAGTGTAAGGGCGGGCGCCTTCCCCGGTGTCGGCGGGCTCGTAGAGGCGGATCAAGTACTTCCGTCCGACCGTGTCCTCCGCCTGGGTGGGGATGGTCAGGGGTGGCGTAGCCTTCCCCCCATTCACAGTCGCGGGGGCCCCCCCATCCCCTTCGGGGGTGCCTTTAGACACGAGTGCGCCCGGGACGCCGTGCGTCAGCTGGTGGCAGTCAGGTCCCACCGGCACGCCAGGGGCGGCCGCGGGGTTAGGGGGCACCTCCTCGGAGGCGGCCGGCTCCGCGGGCGGGGGGGAGGGAGGCTCCCCGGTTGCCCCCAGTGCGGGCTTCCCCTCCGCAGGGCCCGCAGTGGGGACCGCGGAGGGTTCGGCGGCTGGCCCGGCATCGCTTAGGCGTGCTGGGTCAGGGGGGGACTTGCTAGTGTCCGCCCTTCCCTCCCCCTCTCGAGCAGGCTGCGGAGAGGGGTTCGCGCGCCTGAGGCAGAGGCGCTTCCCACCGAACCCGGGTTCCCCAATGTGCCAGCAGCCTGGCTCCGAGCACTGGAGGCTCAGGCGGAGGTTGTGGTACTCCAGGCCGTGGTAGCGGCACAGGCAGGCCATCGGTGCCCCTCCCCCGTTGCGCGGCCACCCCCGGGTGTCAGACGTGGGCCCGTCCTCGATGAGCAAAGGGGTGGGCTTGGGCCCCCTCCGATCCTCGCAAGTGCCATGCTTCTGGAGGCAACAGTACCCTCCCTTCGCGTCCATCCAGCCCACTGCTTCGGCCATGCAGGGTTCCCAATCGTCTTCCTCCTGCTGAGGTCCCCGGGGGTTCGCAGTGACCTGGCGTGGCCCCGGCCGGCGCAGGCGGGCCCCCCTCCGGCAGCAGCAACAACCCCGGGCCAAGAAGGAATGGGCGATGCGCTGGACCCCACCCCAGAATGCCCTCCAGAGGGTGCGGAAGCCGGCCAGGAAGGGGCTTCCCAGGTCCCTGTCCTCGGTGAGGTCGAGGATGGCCTTGGCGTCGACCGCGGTATACTTCCGGAAGTGCATGGCGAAGGCGTCCACGCTGGGACAGCCGCCCACGGGTCCCGCCCTGCAGAGGTGGACCACCTTGGTGTCCGCACCCTCCAGGCGGCGTCGGAGGTCAGGGTCCGTGCAGTCATGCACCCGGGCGTACGGGAAGCCCTGGCCCGCCCGCTTCTCCTTCCGGATGGGGTCACCGTACTGCCCTCGATCCAGGCGTACCCGCTGGCCCCCGACTTCGGCCACGAGGTGGTTGGGCAGCCTCGGGGGCTGGTCGCTCCTCCCTCGGATGATGTCCTTGAAGAAGACGTCGTCCACGGGTTGGGCATCAGGCCCCCTCCAGTCGAGATCGAGGAGGAACCGGCGGTTGTCCTCCACCCGGGCGCAGAAATCGCGGAAGGTGGGGGGGCGCCTCAGACGGCGGTAGAACCAGAAAAAGGGGCGGGCCAGGTGGTCGAGGAGGAGGACCAGAAAGCAGATCCCCATGGCGCCCAGGTAGAAGGAGCCCAGCACGTACACGCCTACCTTAAAGCTCACCCACGCTTTCCCCCACGAAGACGGTCAGGCCGGCATCCAGCCATCCGTGGGACCACACGATGAGGCGGAAGAAGAAGTTGGGGCTAGGGGCGCTCCGGACCTCCAGCACCACTTCCCGGCGGCGGCCGGCAAACCAGTGGTTCTCCCACCAGGGGGTCTCGCCCGCCTCCTCCTGCTCCTCCTCCGTGGGGGTGGGAGAGGCCCACTTCAGCCATTCCACGAACTCCTCCGCGGGGATTTGCTTGGGCCAGGGTAGCCCGTCCCCCGGCTGCGGAGCGGGGGAGGTGTGCCCCCCGCGGAGGGCCGAACGCGGCGGGGGGACGGTTCCCGAGCCTGGCCCCGCAGGCGCGGGGGGTTCGGCGGGGGCGGAGAAGCTCCACCAGAACGGGGTCGGCGTCCCACCTGGGGTGTCCTCCGGCGGGGTCGGCGAAGGCGTCCTCATTTCGGCGAGACTCACCGCCGGCGTGGCAGACGGGGGGGCTGGCGCGCGGGCCCAGCGTCCGGGCGGCGCGTCCACGCTTGCGGGGCTGGCCCGCGGTGATGCCGGGGCGAACGCGAACGACGCGAGTTCCCCCCACCAGAGGGGGGTAGGCGTGCCACCCGGGGTGCTGCCTTGGGCCGAGCCTCCCGCCCTGGCGGATCTCCCCGGGATGGGGGAGAGGATGGGGGCCAAAGTAGGGGCTGCGAGGTTGGATGAGGTGGGGAAGTCCCTTCCCTCCCCGAGAGATAGCTCGGGGTGGTTCCCGGCCTGAGCGGCGGCCGGGTCTGGGGCTGTGGGGGCGTCCGGCCCAAGGGCTCCCTGTCGAGGGGGAGACTGCTCCTTGGGGTCGCCACCCGGATAATGCTCTAGTGGATCAGGTGGGGCGTCATCCAGCCCGCAGGTGATAGGGTCCCGTGGTAGCCAAACGGGGTGCCCGTATCCCCTCCGCGCCCCGTGGGGCGGGTGGGTCCCTGCGGCGAGACGGCCCACTCCACAGAGGACCGCGGCGGCCGAGATGAGCGGGACCGCCAAGCAAGCGAGGCCAAACATGAGTTTAGGGGGTGCACCCCCTCCGCAAAAAACGCTGCTTAACCTAAACAGCTGCGGGAGCAGGGAGGAGGAGGGGCGACAGAGCACTACGGCCAGGGGGGAATAAGACCGTTTAGGCGCATGCCAAACGAAACCATTGTTACTACTTGTCTTCGACTTTTGTGCTTCGAATCGACGTCCTCCTGGCCGGCGGCCCAGGCGAGCGGCCATCTGCGCGCGCGCCGCGCAGGACGCCATCGGCCGAGCGGCGCCTCCGACGTGGGGGGCGGGGGCGTGAGGGGCAACGGTTGAACCGCCCTATGCCCATCCCCCCCCCATCGTGGCCCCCCGGGGCGGCGTTGGCGGCCTGCCGGCGGACGAAGCGCGGCCTGGCGGGCGAGGGCAAGGAGGGCGCCGCAGGCCACAACCAGGCGCGGCCCTCCTTGGGGCGGCGAGCGCGGGGGGGGGGGGAACGAGAAGGAGAAGGCCTTCTCAGAAGGCGGCAGGACTTCTCCCCAGACATGATCGCGTCGTAAAACAATCAGGACGAAAGGTTTATGCCAATGTTCGGCCTCAGGGGGCCATCGCCGAGCCTCGGGACCGTCAAAAACGACTCAGGACGAAAAATCGGTTCTGGGGAAAAGGTCGGGATTTCCACGGACGCCGTCCTGAAAAAAACAAGACGTCGTATGTCTGGGTCAGAAGCCCTCGGCGGCCTTCGGAGAAGTTTTTCCCGTCTTCGGGGAAGGCCCCAACAGCTTTTCATAAGGCTGGGGGGCTTCCGAACCTTCTCAAAAGGCCTCCTCCTCCTCACTTCCCCCCTTGCTCGCCGCCGACTCCTGGCCAGGATGAATTGCGGGAGGGTGCAGTCGCTCTCCTGGCCTATCCTCGGGGGACCTTGTCTGTCTCGTCGCGGCCCTGTCCGCGTCGAATCCGTGTCGAATATACGTTGGACTCGTCGGATCCGTGTCGAGTCCGCGTCGAGCCCGCGCCAAAGCCGCGTCGAGTCCGCATCGAGCCCGCGCCTGGCACAGGAAAAGACACACTTTTGGGGGGCAGGCGAGGCCCCCCGAAGATGCAGCGTAAAGTCCACTTGTATCCTGCCATCGTTGGGACGCCCACTCCCCGTGCATGTTTCGGATTCGTGCATGGATTCCTCGCGAGATGGCCTCAGATGCTCCTCGATGGTCCTCACCGAGAGGAAAAAGGCACACGTCCGACCGAGGCCAGGGTAGAATAAGGACACACGATAAGGATGCAAGGGTCTTGGAAGGCAATGCCGACACGTTGCGGGCGGGGCGCGGCCAGCGAAAGCGGCCACGGATGAAACGGAGGTGAAGGATGAACGGGAAATCTCGGAAAGCTGCTCATCCTTACTATGCGGGTTGACTGTATGGGGCCCCGTTTTGCGCGGATAGGGGTCCGTCAGGACGAGGCGCATGTCTTAATCGCTGCGGGGCATGTCTGAAGTGTCTCGAAGTCTCGCCCCAGAGGCTAGATCCAACTCGAAGTTCAAGCAAGACCTTGGAGGGGTCTAGCGTCTCGGGGTCTTCTGAGAAATTGGGGACCGGAGGCTTTCGAGAATAGACTGAAAGAACAACTACATGAACATTGGAGGTCCGCGCGAAGCTGTTGGATTGGCGCTGGGCCTCCGTCCCCAGCGAAGAGAGCGCGCCAGGGGCGGCGCCTAATCCGCTAAGAATCGGTCCCCAGACCCCTCCTGGGGTCCATCTGGTGCACTTGTTCACCCCGAATCCGTTTTTTGACGGTCCCGGGGCCTGAGGGCGGCCCACGCAAGCCAAAAACCTTTCCGAACCTGCTCGCTCCTGCCAGCCGAAACCACTGCTCCGTGGACCCCTCCCGCGGGGCGTTCTGACCAGCTCTTTCGAGGGGAGCCCAGCCGTGGCGACGAGGGAAAGGGCAGCGGTATCGGTACTTGTTCCTCCTCTGCCCCATGCCCCATCGGGACGCCCCCCCCACGGCCCGCCCCACCCTTGGCAGCGCGCAGAAAGGGGCAGGGGGGGGAGGCGTCTTAGGCCGCCGTTACATTCATAGATGTGGCCCGCGCCTTCTGAGAAGCAACCGCCTTCTTTAGAAAAACAACCTCAACATTAACTTCTGGCGTTCCGCGTAGAATTCTTGGATCTGCGCCTCCGGCGCCTCCCCCCGGCGGCGCCTCCGGCGCCGTCCCTGGCGCGCTCCGCGCGCAAGGGGGGAGGGTCCAGCGCGGATCCAAAAAATCCGCGCGGAGCGCCACCAAAAAAGTTGATTCCCCACTTACCACCTGCATCGCACCCGCGTTTCCTCCCAAACACCTCCTTCTTCCCCGCCTCCTCTTCCTGTCTCCCTCGCCTCGCCTGAGCGCATCGCAATCAGGGCGCGGCAGGCGTGGCACTTTATCGACGTCAGAAGGGGTGCGCAGGGGGGGTCTCTCACCGCGGTCACGTTCTCGACGTCACAGGGAGGGCGCAAGGGGGTGGTCTCTCACCCCTGTCTCTACACGCGCCAATGTCGCAGGGCCTAGCGGCGTGGCACTTTCTCGACGTCACAAGGGGGGCGCAGGGGGTGGTCTTTCACAGCGGTCTCTAGACTCGCCAATGTCGCAGGGCCTGGCAGGGGTGGCACTTTCTCGATGTCAGAGGGGGTGCGCAAGGGGGTGGTCTCTCACCGCGGCCCCTATACGCGCCAGTGTCGCCAGGCCTGCCATGCGTAGTACTTTCTCGACGTCGCAGGGGTGGTCTCTCACCAAGGTCTCTACACGCGCCAATGTCACAGGGCCTAGCAAGCGCGGCACTTTCTCGACGTCACAAGGGGGGGGCGCAAGGGGGTGGTCTCTCAACGCGGTCTCTATACGCGCCAATGCCGCAGGGCCTAGCAAGCGTGGCACCTCCTCGACGTCAGAAGGAGTGCGTAGGGGTGGTCTCTCGCCGCGGTCTCGATACGCGCCAATGTCGCAGAACCTAGCAGGCGTGGCACCTTTTCGACGTCAGAAAGGGGCGCACGTGATCTCTCACCCCTGTCTCTACACGCGCCAATGCCGCAAGGCCTAGCAGGCGTAGCACATTCTCGACGTCACGGGGGGTGCGCACGGGGTGGCCTCCCGCCGCGGTCTCTATACGCGCCAACGCCGCAAGGCACCACAGGCACGTTATGCAGTACGCACATGTGCCTCAGGCGACAACTATGCTACGGGGATGCCTCAAGGCATGGATCACGGCGGCCGCTATGCGCGCCGGTCGTCCAGGGCATAGGAGGCGTGGCACTTTCTCAACACCATGGAGGGTGCGCAGGGGGTGGTGTCTCACCACGGCCGCTACGCGCGCCGGTCGTCCAGGGCACAGAAGGCGTGGCAGTTTCTCGACACCAGAAAGAGTGCTCAGAGGGGTCGGTGTCCCAGGGCCGATGGACCCCTTCAGGGTACTCAGGCTTCCAAGACTTGACAGGCACCATCAACGGGATCGGCGAAGAAGCGGCCACCTGCACCATTGTCGCAAGTTTCACGTCAGCTATCATCAGGCCAAACATCTTATAAGTATACGTTTCACTCACACACCCCCCTCCTTCCCCTTCTCCTCCTCCGTCCCCCATACACCCACGCGCAACACACGCGTCTGGCGTTCGTGCGCACGCACACACGCACACATGCACACACACAGTCAAATAAGGCTAGTGCGCGCCTGGCGTGTTCACAGCATCGTAAGCCCAAGAGATACGCAAAGCAACGCTAGTGTACGCCTGGCGTGTTCACTGCATCGAACACCCAAGAAATATACACAACATACTTGGCAACCACATGGTCACACGTCCCGAAACGGCCCCACACGCATCAAACACATACACACGAAGCGCCATACATGAAAGACGTATGTCGCAATGCCTAGCAGCCGTGGCACTTTCTCAACCCCAGGGAGGGTGCGAGGGGGGTCGTCTCTCACCGCGCTCTTATACGCGCCAATGTCGCAGGGACCGGCAATCGTGGCACTTTATCGACGTCGGGGGGTGCGCAGAGGTGGTCTCTCACCGCGGTCTCTATACACGCCAATGTCGCAGGGCCTAGCAGGCGTGGCAATTTCTCGACGTCACGGGGGGTGCGGTGCGCAGGGGGTGGTCTCTCACCGCGGGCTCTATACGCGCCATTGCCGCAAGGCACAGCAGGCGTGGCACTTTCTCGACGTCACACGGGAGAAGCACGGGGGTGGTCTCTCACCAAGGTCTCGATACGCGCCAATGCCGCAGGACCTAGCAAGCGTGGCACTTTCTCGACGTCACAGGGGGGGCGCGGGGGTGGTCTCTCATCGCGGTTTCTATGCGCGCCAGTGTCGCAGACCCTAGCAAACGTGGCACTTTGTTGACGCCACAGGGGGGGGGCGCAGGAGGTGGTTTCCCACCGCGGTCTCTATACGCGCCACTGCCGCAGGGCCTAGCACGTGTGGCACTTTGTCGACACGAAGAGGGGGTGCGCAGGGGGCGGTCTCTCACAAAGGCCTCGATACGCGCCAATGCCGCAGGGCCTAGCAGGCGTGGCACTTTCTCGACGTCAGAAGGGGGTGCGCAGGGGTGGTCTCTCGCCGAGGTTGCTGTACGCGCCAATGTCGCAGGGCCTAGCAGGCGTGGCACTTTCTCGACGTCACCGTGGGTGCGCGGGGGGTGGTGTCTCGCCGCGGTCTCTGCACGCGCCAATGTCGCAAGGCCTAGCAGCCGTGGCTTCTCGAAGCCAGAAAAGGGTGCGCAGGGTGTGGTCTCTCACCGCGATCCCCATACGCGCCAATGCCGCAGGGCCTAGCATGCGTGGCACCTTCTCGACGCCAGAAGGACTGCGCAAGGGGTGTCTCTATACGCGCCATTGCCGCAAGGCCTCGCAAGCGTGGCACTTTCACGACGCCAAACGGGTACGCAGAGGTCTCTCACCGCGGTCTCTACACGCGCCAATGTCGCAGGGCCTAGCAAGCGTGGCAATTTCTCGACGTCAGAGGGGGTGCGCAGGGGGTTGGACGAGGATAAATTCGGCGGCGTGCGAACCGTTTCCTGTGCGACGCTTGAAAGACTCAGTTTCCCTTTGGCGTTGTAATCGTTTCTGTTGGAGCGGCATGTCGCAAGGCCCCCAAAGCTTGAACCACGCCGCCTTCGATTTTGGCGAAGCGATGGCCGCCGTCAACATGCTCGCAAGTTGCGCGTCAGCTATCATCACGCAAGGCACACGGTAAGTATGTGGGTTTCCTCGGTAGCGCATTTCCTCCTCTATTCTAAGAAGCCTCCCCCCTCCCCCTGCCCCCTTCTGCGCGAGGCCGACCCCCCGCAGGGGAGGCGCCCGCGAGCTGGCGGCCTGACCCCACAAGCCTGAGCCACTGGGGGCGGCGGTCGTCAGAGCTGCCCGCGTCGACGCCGGAGCTGCTGCGGAGGAGCGAGGGGTGGCAAGCCCAGACCTCCGACTTCATTTCCCTTTCGGGGAAGGAAGATCCGGTGGCCACATGTGAGCGTTTTTTATAATCGGCGCTTCGACATTGGGCGGAAGGGGGGGGGGTCTGGCTCTGGACCTCTGCTTAGCGCGACTGTTTGCAGCAGTGGGTCCTATGAGGGGGGACTCCACCTGCTCGTAACAGGCGCCCCAAACAGCCAAGATCTACTCCATAGGGGGGAGGGGGGTTGCGAGGGCCCGCGCCGATCGGCAAAATAATGAATATAAAAAACTCATCATTTGAACCCTACCCCATCCCCCACAATTTCTAAGCGGAGGTGGGGGTTCACTCCGCTCAGGAGCTCCCGAACGAAGCGAACCCCCACCCCCCTTGGAAATCGTATGGGGGCGGGGGGCAAGGTTCACATGTGGCCACCGGAAAATAGGAGCGGACAACATCACAGAGCCTCCCAACTATCACCGCCTGCTGCACGCTAGGTACACAAGCTACACACGTGGAGGCAAATATTCAGCAAACGGCACCCGTACTCTACATGATATCGGGGACCAGAGTCGCGGCCCTGGAAGCGAGCAGAGGCTCCGGACCCGGGTAAAGAAAAACACAGACCTCCGACGTCTGAAGAATATCCGTGTTTAGCACCCCGCGAGTGCCGTCTGCGGGCTCCTCCTGGGCCGTCCAAGCAACAACCTGGGATGACGATGCAGCGGCTGTCAGGGGTCGAGGGGCCCGGGAATCCACATTTTGCACAAAACGCGACTTCGAAAGTCTGGGACAAAAAACGGTTTTGCGCAAGAAAGACGTGGCACCCTTGCGCAGCGGCTGACGAGGAGAAAAATCGTCCTCATGAGGGGCTACTCCAGGGGGTGACTGGCTCAAGAGGGGAGGAGCATCGACCTGGAATCCGCCGTGCATTGCCGATTAGATTGGCGACAAGCCTCCGATGGGGACGCCGCAGGCATTCCTGCCCCCATGGGCCGTGAATGGGCGCTTGGGGGTCGATGCGTCCCCCCCTGAGCCTATCCCCGGTCCCCCCCAGAGAGAGTTCCTCGTCGTCGCCTCTCTACAAAAGGACTGAACAACACAAAAAAAACGAGGCAATATGAACAGGAGGATACGAAGGATCCTGCGTCGGGACCCCCCCTCCCTCCCGGACCGTCGCCGGGGTACCCCTCCCCCCCCTTTTCAAAAGCGGGGGGGGGGTCCGACCCCCCCCTTTTGGGCTCGACCCCTTTCGCCACGGACTATTCACTACTCGCTACTCCCTACACGGTACTCGCTATTCAATACTCACTACTCACCACCCACCACTTACTACTCACTATTCGCTGCTCCCTACTCCCTACTCCCTGCTCGCTACACACGACTCACTACTCAATACTCACTGCTCACTACTCGCTACTCACTGATCACCAATCAATACTTTATACTCATTATTCACTACTCACTACGCGCTATTCCCAACTCGCTACTCGCTATTCAATAATCCTTACTCACCATTGGCTACTCACTACTCCCAAGTCACTAATCACTACTCACCACTTCCCACTCACTAGTCACTACTCACTACTGACTATTCACTACTCACCACCAACTACTCACCACTCACTAGACACCACACACTACCCACTACCCACTACCCATTTCTCACATATCTTAACACACTACCCACGAACCCATACTCGCTACTCACTAGTAAGTACTCACTACCCACTACTCGCTACTCCCTAATCGCTACTCCGTACTCACTACTGCCTACTCCATACTCACCACTCACTAATGACTACACACTAATCGCTTCTCACTACCCGCTGCTCGCTACTCCGAAATCGATACTCACTTCTCACTACCCACTACCTACCACCCACTAAACACTACTCACCACTCACTACCCACTACTCACTACCCACTGTTTACTACTCACTACCCACTACTCCCTACTCAGTACTCTATACGCACTATTCTCTACGCACTACTCACTACTTAGTACTCACTACTTACTACTCACTACTCTCTTCTCACTACGCACTACTCACTACGCACAACCCGCTACCGACTACTCACTACTCACTACTCACCACCCACCAGTCACTACCCACTACTCACTACTCCCTACTCAGTACTCACTAGTCACTTATCATTACTCGCTACTCTCTACTCACCACTAACTACGCAATATTCACAACTCAGTATTCACCACGACTTACTCCTCACTACTCGCCACGCTCTACTCACTACGCACTACTCACTACTCATCACTCACTACTATCTATTCCCTACTCCATACTCCCTACCCACCGTCTCCGGCGCTGCATAGAGCAGCGGGAAAAGCCCCCTCCTCGGCTCTCTGTCCCGCGCAAAAGGGAGGAGGGGGGCGAAGGGTTCGAAGCCATCCCTTTCCAGCGCCAAGGGTGGGGGTGGGGAAGGTCCAGAATCCCTCCCCCCCCTCAAGGGAGGGAGGTGGGGGAGGGAGGGGGGGGGTCGAAAATCTCCCCCCGCCTTTGAAGAGGGGGGGGTCCGACCCCCCCCCCTTGTCAAGTACAGGGTCCTCCAGTGGCGCACCTTCCCAATCTGCAGTGGATCAATCTCCTCTGATGAATCTAAGAGGTACGTGTCGAGCATCCTGAGCTTGAGCTTAAGCCAGCATCAGGTCATTCATCGTTCAATGTTTGACTCGAGGGAGGAGGAGGGCGAGGAGGAGGAGGAAGAGCACGGGCAAGAAGACGGGCAGCAGGAAACAAACGTTGCCTATCTGCCACCACCACCGCCGTGGCGTGCACTCCCGCCGTCCTCCGCTGTATGGGCATCCGCTCCAGTTCGCTCCGCGCTGATATGACGTCGTCCCCCCGAAGGAGGCGCTCCCCTCGCTCCTCCTCCTCCTCCGCCACCGCCCCCTCCTACTCCTCTTCTGCATCGAACTCGAAGCCTGACAGGGCTGGGCCAGGTGAGATGTCTGGACAGGCCAGGGCATACCCCCGAAAGCTGCTCGGAGGTCTCCAGAGGTCCCCAGAGGCCGAAACGACCCCCGGGTATGCCCAGCCCATCAGGTGGCAGCATCGACGGGGACATGCAAAACGAGCGATGACATGATACAGCATGCGACCCTGTGTGAAAACTGTATGAACAATCGTGGCGTTCCGATGCTCGTCCCTTCGTCGGCGCGAATACTAGAAGGGGGTCACCCGGGCGAACGACTTTAAGCTGGCGGCCCGTGGTTGCAAGAGGTTCCCATTCTCGGTCGTGCCCAAGGGACCTCGGCAAGGCGCTGACGGAGTCTCTGCAAGGTCTGCTTGCAACCGCTGGGGTGCTCGCCCAGCCTGCTCAGGTACATCCGATGGCCGACGCAGATCGACCACAGGGCGTCAAAGCGTCGGCGTCGTCGTCGTCGTCGTCGTGCTGCGTTTTACCCCTGGGCGGCCGGCGCAGCCCTAATTACGCACGCCCTGTCTAGACTTCGTCGGCAGGTGGAACAGCGTGAGCTTCTTGACCACATGAGGCTCGCCTACGGTAGACAACTCTTATGCCACATGTGACCGTCTGGGCCCCGATGCAAGCGTGATGCACTCGCCATCAATTAGTCAGAATATGCCAGATCGCGATGAAGAGGCAGAGGTCCGGCGCCAAAATACACAGCATGAAAATAATCACGCATGCGACGACGAGCATGATAAACTGCAGAATCCCGCTGGCATCTTCGCCATCCAACTCCATCAAAGACCCTTGAATCTCCTCCAACTGGACGAAAGAATCGGCTTGATCCTTTATGATGGTATCCTCGTCCTTCTCCATTTCGCTGACCGTAAACTGGTGCCCCATCGCCTGCTCGTAGTAGATCTTCTCCAAGCTGTTCCGCACGTTCGAGGCAAAGTGGTATAAGGAGATCGTGTACCCGTAGTCGCAATATTTCCCATTGTCCGCCACCGCGCTGCGCCGCAACAAGTGTGTCGAGCTGTGCGCAACCCTGGCCCTGGTCTCCGTACGCGTCGGTCGGAAGGAGTAGTGAGTGAGTAACGACAGTCGCGAAGCGAGTTCGGTGGATTACGAAGCCCGACGAGCCAACTCTGCTCGGCTGCGGACCTTAGTCCTTAGGCCAGCGCCCTGCGAGAATATTGGCAGGATATATGGCTCGTTTGGGGTTCGTGGCCTGAGGACACGGTTGCCCGAGGCCTCAAACACTGACTGGCGAAGTGCCCACACAAGCAACAAAACCACAATCAAAGCCCCTTATGTAGACGCATCCGATGACTACTGTGCACCAACCTCCCTGTAACATGAAGTGGGAAGGCAGAAAGAGTAGATTGGGCACAGGCCCTCCCAGAGAATCGCACAACGCAGCAAAAACACATCGCCTCTCGAAGTAGGAAGGCGCTTGAAGTAGATCGGGACCTGGGCATCCCGAAATACCTGCCTTCAAAGACCAGCGTGACAGCAGACCTCCTGGGGGCCCCCGACGCGCCGACGCGCCGACGAGTGGCCGCTCCCCGCTCCGAGTTCCCCTGGGTTCTCCTCTGGCAACCCCGTGCAGGGGCACGAGGCCGAAGGCACAAATAGAGGCCTCCTAGATGGGGTCCGAATACAATGGCGGCCAGTCCACAAGAAACCTTCCACAAGAAACCCAACCCTGAGACCCCAGGACGTCCATAGATTGGTGGTGTGGGAACGTCATGCTTTCCATAGCAAAACCGTCCAAACCCCAAAAAACCCAGGGCATCCTGGTGGCAAACAGGGTGCTTCTTGGCACGGGCCCCCACGGTAGATGGGGTCGGAGGATCGCGCCGCATCGCCAACGCATCGCCGATGCATCGGCGATGCGCCTGCGATGCACCGGCGACGCATCGTCGATGCATGGGCGAGATGCATCGGCGACGTCGACGTGGAGAAAATCGGCCTGCACATCGAGCCGCTTCGCTGATGCATCGGCGATGCGGAACGATCCTCCGACCATCTACTCCGACCCCCTCTGGGAGGCCGAAAGCGCCGCTCCAGACGGGAGCCTCCACCCCCTCCGGCGAGCCGAGGTAGGGGAACAAACAACGACACTAACGTAACAGCTCGGAGGTCCACGCGAATCTCAGAGCTGTTATGTATGTGTCATTGCTTGTTCCCCTGCTCCAGAAGCACCCGCCCAAATCGCAGAAGACGCTCAGAGGTGGCCAAACGAAACCAACAAAACCTCGACGCTCGATTCTCGACCAACGTCGTCGACGAAAGCGAAAGACATCTGTCGCATGAAGGCGGATATGCGCGGCAGCACGAATTGATATTCGTCCACGACCATCCGGATGCGGTGCTGAAGCGCCCGCTGCCTCTGTGCATCCTCTTTATTGCAAGTTTTGACGCAGCCCCTCCCGTGTTCGATGTCGTCGTAGTTGCCGTTGAGACGGCCTGCTTTGCAGCAACAGACGTGGTAGCCGTTGCCAACGGTGCAGCTCGTGGTCGTGCCGTGCCCCCAACCGCCGCACGCCGGCCACTTGAACGAGCCAGGAGCGTAGATCGGATCGGATGACGGCGCAGAGCAGGATCCCATCTTCGCCTGAACCTCTTCGGAGAAGCTGTCCACGTTGAGGGCCGTGGCGTTGCAGTCGTTGTAACACATGGGCTTGGCGCGGAAGCCCTCGTCGAGCGCCCAGTGCTTGACGCCCATGCCGAGCTTGCATCCGCTGTCCGCCCTGTACGTGTCCATCATCTTCGTAGCCATCATTGCGTCCCGGGCGGCGGCCACGCCCACAGCGTAGGTCCGCTGTAAGTAGGTGCTGGGGCCCTCAGAAGGCTCCCTGCCTGGGCCTCTTGCAAAGTCTTCCGCAAACTCCGGGTCGACGGCAGACCCGAGAACTGTGCCGCTTTTTTCTGCCTCGAGGCATGCATCCAAGGCCTTCACCTCGTTGAGCAGGAGCTTCGCCTCGTCCGAGCCCCACCTGTTCGTGACCACGTGCTCCTTCGCAACCTTCTCACGTATGGAAGCGACATGGCGGTGAATCTTCTCAACATGATCCCGGAATGCTTGCCTCTCTTCCGCCCAGCGTAAGGTCTTGCACAATTTAGGCTGGCCGCTCCCATGTATGAGGCTCTTGATGTGGGCGCTTACTAAGTCCACGCGCGCCGCCCGCTCCGAGGCGGACGCGAAGAGCGCGGAAACAGCAGCGCTGGCGCTGGCCAGGGCGAGCTTCGCGCCAGCACCTCCGATGTCCAAATCACCTCAGCGCAACGTCAGCTACACAGCAACACAAATCCTGGCCGCGCTTACCCCCAAGCTCACAACTAGCCCAGCCAGGATCAGTGTATGTGTATAGTTAGCGTCCGCCGAAACCTGCCATGTAGCTCTCCAGCGCGTGATCCCGGACCGCGCGGACGTCGTGGCCACCCAAGAGAAGCATTAAGAACACTGCTATGCACTTAGCACGTGCACTCTCGCCACTCCGAACGCGCCCTGATGGATTGGACATATCTTCGACTGAAAAGCCACGGAATTTCTTTGGAGTAACGTCCAATGCAATCCAACTTGATCAAAACAAAAGCACACAAAGGAAGGGTACGAATATGTGAGTGGTGTACACGTGCGGAAAATTTACATATTTGTGCACGTGCGCGTGATGATGAAATGTGCGGGCCTGACGGGCCAAAGGGGTGTTCGAATCGCCTGTAAGAAGTGCACAATATTTATGTATTACGTGTGCGCGGGCACGTGGTGATTCCTGGTCAAGTCGGGCCTGGGGATGCCAGAACTCCTGGGTGCGGGCGGCCTCAAAAGCAGCTTAACGACCGCCACAAGTATGAACAAAACATCCAGGATGCATCCCTCACGGCTACCCCAGCTTTCCAGACCACCAGGTAACCTCCACCATGCTTGAGTGAAGCCCCAAGACTGCCACCAGACGGCCCCAAGTGGCCACACAACCTCGCGAGGATGCACCCAAGAGGCCGAAACCGCTCCCGACACCTAGCCATTCAATGATTGTGGCTTTCTCGCTGCTTCGACTCCGACGGCCTTCCAAGGCTTCAAGACGGTTCGAACACCAGAAAACGCCAAAATGGCTCCAAAGACCGTTAAATGCGCCCAGAAGCGTCGCAAGAGGGCTCCTTCTGGGACCCAAGAGCAACACATAACTGGGATAAGTTGGTCGCATGCCCGGACATTGCTCAACATAAGACCACGAGGCCCACAGATATTCAGCCCTCAGGCGGCCCAGGATTGTCCCAAATAGCACTCAAAGGATCACTAAACAAAACCAACAACCTCATGCTGTTCAATGAGCATGGATGCCTCCCTTTCGCTTCCGAGGTTCTCCAACTAAGCTTGCCTCTAATTTACCATTGCAACCGTCAAACTGTCAGCATGTGTTCTTCTGTATCCGCATGGCATCCACTGCTATCCGCACGGCTTCCTATGCATCCGCAAGGCTTCCTCTGCTAGTCCAATGACTTCCTGTGGCAGTTACAGTGTCGTCAAAATCACCAAACAATCGTCAAACTCAAACACATGATAGAGAAGGGTAGACGCGAGTAGACGAGCAAGAGTCGATCAAGACAGACCATAATGTACAACATAGAGAAGCACAAACCATAAACGGGTATGTGGTAGACTGGAACCGGTAGAATAGTGTAGAGCATATCAGAGTAGTGTGTAATACACTCGAATATAATAGAGGAGAGTCGAGGAGAGGAGATGAAAGTAAGGTGGACAAGGAGTATAGTAAGGAAGAGAAGAGTAGATCATACTTTAGTAGGTTTTGGGACGGTAGAGCTGAATAGAGTATAACAGAGTAGAGCAATGTAGAGCAGGGTCGATGTTATAATAGAGTCGGATCGAATATAATATATTAGAGTAGAGCAGAGTAGGGCAGATTAGTCTTGAGTGGTCGACGAAGATGATCAGTGACCCACTCATCCTCCTCCTGTGCCTGCCCCTTTTCCATCCAAAGCAAATTCCAATATGGTCCTGATCAATCTAATCCAATCTACCCAGTCCAGGCCAGTCCGGCCCACCCAAGTCTTCTCCAGTCCACTGTTCTCCAGTCCTCTAACTAAATGGTGGTCTTCCCATATATTTGGAGTCTGCTTGGCTGATGTATTTCTGAAGCCTCAGGCTCCAATGTCGCCCAAGATAGCCACAAGTGGAAGTCGGAAGGGCGGCACGAGGGCTCCGAAGACTCCCAAGAGCGCTCCAGCAGCGCCGCAAGAGGGCTTCAAAGGACTCCAAGAGGGCGCCAAGAGCGCTTAAGAGCGGGGTCAATGGCTGGCCGGCCCAAAATACATTCCCACAAGGCAACAACATAGCCCCAAGGTGGCCCAATATTGTCAGCCATCCGAAGGCCTCCGGGAAGTCAAAACTCTTCGAATACCGAAGGTTGTTTAATGGATATCGCTTTGTCGCCTGTTCGCATCCGATGGAGTTCTGGAGCCTCAAGATGGCTTCAATAAGGCCCAACATAGCTCTAAGTGAAGCCCAGAACGGCTCCAAAAGGGCTTCGAATTTTCTCAGAATGCCCCATGATCGCCCCAACGCGGATGGATGGATGGGCGGCATGCCCCAAGACGGCCCTAGAGCAGCCCCAAGAGACCCCAATATAGCCTTGAGGTGATCCTAGACTGCCCAAAATAATCCCCAAGAGGCCTCCGAGAGCCCAAGGGACGACACAAAACGTCCCCAGAAGACCCCCAGGAGCATCCCCGAGACCCCCAGGAGTCCGACAAAAGTTCGGCCTACGAAAGGGAGACGGATAAGATAAATGTCTACGATTTCCATGATTGTTGCCTTCTCATGTTTTCGGGCTTCGATGGTAAAGTTTGGATGGCGACACGCTCCGATGAGTGCTGTCTTGAATCTGCCAAGCGACTGATTCTCCCCTACACGCGCTTCACTGTGCATGGAAGAACTACCACCACAACAGCTTGTCACTAGCCACGAACAAACAATGCAGGAAATGGTGCAAGAATCGGTGGCATGCAAGAAACGGTGCAATGCGGCGGTCCCCGTGCAAGCCTCAGCCGTGCAGGACAAACGCCAGATTGCGGGTTGGTCTGCTAGAGGCCGCTTGCTAGTAGGGGGTGGCCTCCGCATATTGTCTCTTTGTCCTGTCGTCCGCCCTGTTCGGGGAGACGTAAAACTCGGGTTCGGGGGACTCCAGGGGTGGCCTGACGAGGCCGTGATGAAAACGACGAGACCGAATCTGAAATTAGAGGCGAACTCCCGCTGCAGACATCCCACCAAAACTGGACCGTCAACATCCTGGGCGCGCTCGTCAAAAAAGCGTCGGCAAACCCGAGTTCTGGCGTACTCGAGTCTCACGCTTCCCTGCCTGTGTCCCTTTTCCCTTGCGCCTCGCGCGGGCACCGGTCTGCCGGCGGAAGCGCCCCGCGCGGGGCGACGACGGCGCGGAGGTCGCGAGTCGCGAAAGTCGGTGCCAACTCCGGCGGGCAGTGCCGTGACGTCCAACCGGGATCTTGCTTCTCATGCTCGTCCTCGTCCTCGTCCCCATCCTCCTCCGCCCCTTTCAATCCCCATGGCACTCCCTCCTCCTCTTCCTCCTCCTCCTACTCCTACACCTCATTCTCGTCCCAGTAATCCTGGTCATCATCCTTCTGATCTTCCCCTGTTTATCCTCATTATCATGTTCCCCCTTCTCCTTCTGCTGCTTCAGCTATCGGCGAAAATATCCTCAGACGTTGTTATAAACACTACTTCATCGTTGCTCCAATTGAAAACCGAACCACTCTGAAGTGTCAGCAAGCGCGCAAAGTGTCGGCAAAGCGCGATCGTGCTGCGTGGCTCGAATCTCTGACAGCAGACGGCCATTGGAACTGCATCAAACAGATCACCAAACGGAAGCATTGCCCACAAGGGCGCCTGCGGGACACTCGGGGGACCTGCGTGGCCACTGACGAAAGAGCCGATACATTCGCTGAACATCTGAGCAATGTCCAATGGCATGTTCGTCCGGTCACGCTCACGCCCAGGGCGGACAGTGCGCTGTTCCCGCCGCTGGACGTGGAAATTGGCCCTTTCACAGAACCAGAGCTTCGCGATGTTTTTGCAAAGATGCGATGTGGCAAGGCGTGCAAGCCAGATGACATACCAGCAGAGGTTTTCAAAGCATTAGCAGAGGAGCCCGGGCAACTTGAGTGGGTGTTGGACATGTGCAACGAGGCTTGGGAGCACAAGGCCATACCAGAGGATTGGGCATTATCTCGCGTGTGCTTGCTGTACAAGAAGGGCGACCCTGCGTGCTGCGATAACTACCGGCCACTTTCCCTAAAAAGCGTTGCTCTGAAAGCGTTTTCCGCGATGCTGAAGAACCGCCTGCTCGCTGCAGGCGTGGATGAACGCATCTGGCACAGTCAGTTTGGCTTCCGGAAAGGGCGAGGCACGGAGCACGCCATCTATGTCGCACACCGACGGATCGAGTTGGCGCGAGCGCACAAGCACGGTGCGGTGACGCTGGTTGCTCTCGACTGGAAGAAGGCCTTTGACAGTATACGCACAGAGAGCATGCTGGACGCACTCCGCCGGATGGGCCTCCCGCCAGAGTTCACGAACATGGTGGAGTCACTCATGGCGCAAAGGATGTTCGTTGTCAGCGACGACGGAACGCAAACGGCTGAACGCCCGCAAGTATCAGGCATCTCTCAAGGCTGCACGCTGAGCCCTCTGCTATTCGTTCTTGTGATCACAGCCTTACTGCACGACGCAGTGGCGCTGCTCCCTGAAGGAGCCCGACGGGCGTACGACGCGGGCGAGCTGTCGGATTGCGTCTACGCAGACGACACTCTGTTAATTGGCAAGTGCGACGCGCACGTGAACGACATCTTGGCAGCAGTTGCGGCTGCAGGCAAGCGGTATGGCATGGAACTGCACTGGCAGAAATTCCAGGTCTTGACTTTGCAGTCGGCCGGCGACATCCGCTCTCCCGATGGCGCGCAGCTGAAGCATGTGGAGCACTTGCAGTATCTGGGCGCGCAGCTCACGGCTGACGCGAACATGAGCCACGAGCTGGGCAGAAATATAGGGGTAGCCCGACGATCGTTCACGGCTCTGCGCAAGGTGTGGTCCCATTCATCTCTGACTTGGAACCGCAAGCTCCGCATTTATGCTTCCATCGTCGAATCGAAGCTGCTGTACGGGCTCAGCAGCGCGTGCTTCACGAAAGCGCAGCTGCGTCGTCTCGACGGATTTCAAAACAGATGCTTGCGCGCGATCATCGGAGTGAAGCCGTCGTACCTATCGCGCATTTCGAACCGGGACGTCCTTACGAGAGCAGGATATGAGGCGGCCAGCACGCATTTATTGTTCAGACAGCTACAACTGTTCGGCCAAGTGCTTCGCGCCGATCCTGCTCATCCACTCTACGCCTGTTCTTTCGCCGCCGGCATGAGGCCGGCCACGGAGAGGTACGTGAGGCGAGTGGGCCGCCCGCACAAGGAGTTCGTTCCCGAAATGTCCAAGCACGCAGCGTGCATCTTCGGCAGCATGGTGGCTACAAATAGGTGGCGTCACATGCCGTGCCGCGATACACTGATCCATGGTGCATGGTAGCATCCATCTTCGGGTGCGTCATTTCCCGTGCCATGCCACGGCATGCAATGCCATGCTAGGTTGCTACTACGCTTTGCGGTGCTCTTCTACGCCATGCCATGCCGTGCTCTACAATGCATCGCGTACCCTTTCGGGATCATTGCCCTGCTCGACATCCGACTGTGCGAGTAGAGAGGGGATATACGCCATGGTCAGGGATGGGAGGGAGGGTAGGATGTCAGACATGACGCGAGCGCACGTAGCTTGTCCATCCTCCCCTCCCCCCCATCCTCCCTCCTCCCTCCTCTGGACTCGCTCTCTCTCCTCTTTGTTCTCTCTACTTCCTCCCTGGGCTCGTCCCCAGGGGGGAAATTCAGCCCGCTACGCGGGCGCCCTGGGCTGCGGCACTCACCTAGGCCGCACCCCCCTCCCGGCTACGGCTCGCGTGCGGGCACTTCCGTACATACATCGGAGGCGCGCAGACATGGATTAGCGATCCATGGATTTGGCGCGCGGTCGCCGAATCCATGGATCGGGGGAGGTGCCCTCCCCGAAATGCGGCCGGTGGATGCCGCCTCCCTCGGCGGCGGAAATCTGCGAGATCCACGTCCCCTCGACCCATGTTTGCGATCGCCGGGATATAGGCGATCCGCTCCGATCCCTCGAGCAGTGCCCTCTGCTCGCCATCGCTCGGACGTCCCTTCCCCGTGCATTTTCCGACGTCGTGCGTGCATGTTGTTGCCCGATGGTGTAGGATGCTCCCCAGTGGTTCTCGCCGAGAAACATTCGCGCACGATCGAGCGATGCCAGGGCGCCCTCTGGGAGCTTGGGAGCCAGCGCCGGGGCGCCCCCCAGGCGCTCCGTCCTCCCCCGCCCGCCCCGTTCCTCACTCGCTGCCGCACCGCGCCGGGTCCTGCCATTCGCCATCGCTCGGACGGCCACTCCCCGTGCACGTTTCAGTTTCGCGCGCATCTTTTCGTCGCAAGATGCTGCAAGATCTGAGCAGGGGCCGACCGTCCTGGCATTCCTATAGGCCTACCACGAAGTGTTCTTAGAACCCCATACATGTTCGAATCAAACAACAAGTTTCTTAGACCAGAAACCCGATGTGTTAAAACAGGACGGCCCCAACTGGAAATGTTCTAGGAGCAGTTCGTTCAAACCACAAAAGATTCTTAGAACATTATTTGGAAGGCTTATAGGCAAGCCAGGACGCTTCGCCACTGCTTGACTCTTTCACTCACCGAATGAGTGGTCACTTGTAGTGCGCCGTGCAATGATTGCCACGTGACGACCAACGGCAATCGGACTCAGGACAGAAACACATCCGTCTAAAACATGAGACCCCCCGCCGGCCAAGGCACCCCAAACCAGAAGATTGCCGAGGGTACCCTCCCCGAGAATGCACAACAAACCTTTAACAAACACGAAGCACACTAGGGTGCCCCGAACCGACCTCGCTCTTGTGCCTCGGCCCGACTGTGTTGGCACCGACTTTGTCTTGGCCGCACCTTCGCTGCTGCACGCCCCGGTTTCACTCGCCAGATGACTAATCAATTGCGGTGCGTCGTCGAGTGCTTGGCTTGCTACATGACGAACAACTGCAGCCAGACCTAGGCCAGAAGAACGTCCCTCGAGAACGCGAGACCCTCCGCCAGCCAACACCCGCAGCACATCCGAGGGTACCCTCCCCATAGTATGGTGCACAAAAACATCCAACAAACAGGAAGAACACGAGGGCACCTTCTCTGAACCGACTTCGAACTTATGCCTCGGTCCGGCTGCAACCTGGAGAATGATTGCGGCGATTGCGAGATGCTACCACCCAGCCCGCTCCGCGTCCCCATGAGGCTGACGGGGGCCAGGGCCTGCCCCCCGGGGGCCTCCCTCAAGGGAGGGAAACCACCCAGGCCCCAACAATCTGCGTTTACTGAGCGGCCCGCTTGCGAAGCCCTGCCCTGCTCGATTCCTCCCCTGGGTGCGTTTACTTAGCGGATTCGCTTATCGGGGTGCTCATTATGGGAGTGGATTTTCTGCCCTCCCTCCTCCCTCACCTTTTCTCCACTAGTGCTGCGTTGGACCGCAGCCCAGCGGCCAAGCCATTTTGGCTCCCTCTGTTCTCCCCCACCTCATTGCCCGCCTAATCTGACGGACACTCCCATTTCCCTGGCTTAAATATTTCCGTGGGCCCATTTGCTGCTCGCTCCATAGCGCGAAACCAACCCTTGTGTGTCATCTGGCCTGACACGGCAATGCTTCCGTTTCCCTCGAACATGTCTCCCCTCCTCCTCTGACATGACCAATACATTCTGGTGTGGCGATTGGCTGGCGGCCGTGCCACTGGCGAAACACGATCGCACGACTTGGCAGTTGGGACTTTAGGCCCGCGGCGCCTCTTCATGCCAAGCCGAGGCATACGACGATCTCCAGTCGAAAAGCCTCAATCATCCCCCCCTCCCCCCCCCCTCCTCCCTCCCTCCTCCTGACCAGATGACGCCCGTTGCGTAGTCAGAGGCTCCGCCCGCCAGCCCCAGCGCGTCAGTCCGCGCTCGGGGGCCTCGGCCTTCGCCGCACTAGCGTTTGCAGCGTGTCGGCCTCCACCTCGTCGTCGTCTTCCTCCGAGACAAGACGGCACAAGATCAGATCGATCGGAGAATCGAACCGGCCATCGAAACACATTGGACCGGCAGAAATCGGCAAACACATCCAGAAGGCACCAACTTGCCGATGCCTTCTGGCCGGTCTGGGCCGACTCCGAGAGGGAGGGAAAGGGGGATAGAGGAGTGTGTGTAGATTGTTTTGTGTGGTGTGTGGTGTGTTGTGTGTGTTGTGTGTTTCGTGTTGTGTGTTTGTGCGTTGGTGTGAGTGTGGTTGTGTCTGTGTGATTGTGTATGTGTGTGTGCGTTTGTGTGCTTGTGTGTTTGTGTGCCTGTGTTCGTGTGTGGGTTTCAGATGATCTGATTCGTTTGTGTTTGTGTGCTTGTGTGCTTGTGTGTTTGTATGGCTGCGTGTTTGTGTTTGTGTGTGTTTGTATGTTAGTGTGTGTGTGTGTGTTTGTGTTTGTGTGTTGTTGTCTTAATGTGTCTGTGTGTTTGTGTGTTTGACTTTTCGCGTGCGTGTGTGTGTGTGTGTGCGTGTGTGGGGGGGGGAGGGGCGGGGGGAAGGGGCAAAGACAGGACAGGGAACACGAGGAATTGTGGGGAGGAAGCTATGGCTGTCGTGCTCAGGAGAAACCGCCTCGACGCGGCCTCGGACACACCAGCGGACGAATCGCCGCCCACGGGCCAAAGCTCCGCAGCTGCGGCCGCACGCTTCAACGGGGAGAGAAAGGGGAGGAGGGTTGGGGCGGGGGGAAAGGGGGGGGACGAGGAGCGGGGAGGTCAGGGGGAGGAGTGCGACTTGGGAAAAAGGGCGACGCCGTCGCACGCACACGTCGAATTGACTGAGGTGTATAAGTGTTTCTCCCGCCGTCTACCCCTTCAAAAGCTGGAGCTCCACAAGGCAGAAACGGTGCAACGTGAGCGGGGAGGGAGAGGAAAAAAAACGGCCCGTAGACAGAGCGGGGGTCCCCGCCGTCTCCAGGGATGCGCCAGGCCGTGGCGGCGAGGAAGAAAATTGCGCAGTCTCGGCCGGCGATCACACGTCTGTCCACCAGTTTCTTTGTCCATCCTGCGAAACGGCCCGCTGCGACGCGATGCCACGGCTTCCAGCCCATCAATCGAGCACTCCATCTCCCGTCGGTGTCGGCGCTGGTCTTCCCAGTCAGCTCCCGCTGCTGCTTCCAGAAGTTCGATGTTCACTCCTGCACGCTGAATTATTCGCAGCGAGCTCGCCTGCTCGCGCCAATTATGCATCGCAACATCCTCTGCCGAGCTGAACGGAGCTGCTCTCCTGGTGGACCTTGAGCGTGCACGTGCCTGCCGCGTACATGACGCATGGCGTGACGCACGCGCTGAACAGCTTCAGCCCGTGGTACAGAGGGAGGCGCCGACTGCAGAGAACCTGTCAAGCGCGCGAACGATGCCGGGCCTGCAAAACATGGTTTGCCAATTCTTTCTCGCAGTAAGCATCCAATGTACGCACTCGGGGTATATATTTTCCGGATACAGCATATTGTAGCACGCGAACACCACGCCCTGCACTTCGGACGCTCGTCGGTCTGGGTAGCGCATTTGTGAGGATGAATGCTTTGCCCATGTGCGCCTTGAGGCCATACTTCAGCGCCTGTGTCTCCAAGTCTACACGCATTCTGGATACGTCCCGCTTGCTGGTGAATGGGAGGTAGACGTCGTCAACAAACCGCACTCGTGAGCGTGTTTGTCGGGTCGTCCACGACAATGCCGTAGTAGGTGCCGGCACGATTAGTGTTCAAGCTAGTCCATATCCTTTTCGCCCTCCTGAATCGACCTTCCATCAACACGGTAAACGAAAAGAAACTGATAGGGGTCACCCTGCTTCACCACGCGCGCGATGCCGAAGAATCGGTTCCCGTCTCCCGCCACAATTCGTGCCCCTTGTCGACGGTGTAGACGCGTCAACAAATCAATGTTACATTCTGGCACATTTTGTTCGCGAGGGGCTGTCCAGAGGGTGTCGTGCTCTACGGTGTCGGACGCTTTTTCTAAATCGACCACGCCCATCCATAACTACGTGTTGAACACGTTGCGGCCCTCGGCCACGAGGATCGCGCACATCAAGTGGTCGATGGTAGCCCCGCTGGTAGGCTGTTTGATCCACGGATTGTGCCCCGACGATCTTCACCCGCAGCCTGCCGCGTAGCATTCGGCTGGTTAGCTTATCCCAAAAGCGAGAATCGCAATAGGTCGGCAACTGGAAGGCAAGGCAACGTTTCTCTTTTTCCACACAGCCGTGATCTTGGATTCCAACCAATCGGCCCGAAGATGCTCACGAAGAACGAATATCGCGCTAAACGTGTCTGACCTGGGCTGCCTCAAAAGCTGACTGTCCGCTCTCAACATATCGTCGCAAATACCACTGTCGTTTCCACATCTTCCGTGCTTCATTTGCTGAATTGCACCCTGTGAACGACGGAATGTGATCTCCACTGCAAGCAACACAACATAGAAACCCTCCCCGTGGCCATCCCGGTTGCTCGCGTACAGGTCCTCGTAGAACTGCGCAACGATTGCAGCAATGGTGTGCTTTTCAAGTCCGGCTTCTCCGCAATCGGTCCTTCATCTCGAAATGTGCGTTTCCTTCTGCTTGCCGAAGATTGCACCAATCCGCTGTATTCTGCGGAAGTCTTCCAGGACCTTCGGAATCTTCATCAAACGTTCCTGGTTCATCTTCTAGCGAATCAACTTCTATATGGCCGTTCCCCATTCCACACGTACAGCTTTCCTTTCCTCTGGCGGGCGGGTTGAGGACTTAAGATTCCTTCGCAAATTTATCACCGAACGTATTCTGATATCGAGATCCACGCATGGCTCCTACACCTCGCCATGGGTAGGAGGCGCACTTGTGTCCTTCCTAGATGCGGCCCGCATGCAACGGTTTATCTGGTGAACCCTCTCCGCTGCAGAACATGCCTCCCAATTAACTTCGCAGAGAAGCAAATCAAGTTCCGCCACATGGGATGGCCCCGGGGTCCATCGAGCAGGAGGAGGAGGACGAAGAGGAGGAGGAGGAGGTGGAGGAGGACGACGACTTCGACCCTCGACGGCGACTGTCCGCTCCCTCTGAGAGGCAACGACGAAGGAAACCGGCTCAGGGGAAGGGGAGCATCGCTGGAATCGGCGGTACATCGCCAATTCATCGGCGATAGGCCCCGGACAGCGAAACCGCACGCTCGTGGGCGGAGTGCGCAATCGGGCGCCCATCGGCGAGGAAAGGGCGAGTGGGTCGGCGGCGAGCTCGGAAGTCCCCCAGCCTTGTGAACAGTTCCCGCAAGACACAGAACACTTCTCCGAAGGCGCCAGGGTTTCTGAGAAGTCCCCCCGCCTTCTGGAAAAACCTTCTCCTTCTCACTTTCCCCCCTCGCTCGCCGAGTGGGGGTCGATGCATCTCCCCGTGAGCCCAGCCCCCGCCTCCCCTGGCGTTGCCCCTGACCCTCTCGACTGCCCCCAGCTTGCTGTCCGCCCGCCCGCCTTATCATTTTTTGTCTTCAGGAGCTCGGAGGATTCCCCTCGGCGGCTCAAAGATGGGGACCTGAGGGACGGGGTGGGGTCCCGAGGACGAGGTGCCTCAAACATCGTGAATCCACCCTTGCATCCCCTCCTGTCCGCAAGTCCCTATTTCTCAGGACCCCATCTTTGGACCACCAGACTCCAGTGCCCCCCCACCTGGTGTGTCTGTCGGGCGTAGCGGCGGCGCGGAGGGGCCGTCGAACCCGCTCTCCCTCTGGGGGGGGGGGGGGTCCTGGCCTCGGGCAGCATCGGCGATGCGTCGGCGACGTCGGCGACGCATCGGCGGCACGGGCGTGGAGAAAGCCGGGCTTCACGTCGAGCCGAATCGACGATACATCCGCGATGCGGCGCGATCCTCTGGCCCCATCTACTCGTTCCCCACTGGGGAGGCCTGGAGACAGGCGATTCCGCTTGAACGATCCTGGGGCGGGTGGTAATGGGGAGTGACCTGAATGGGTGACCTCACGCCGGCAGCTATGCGCCAATGTCGGAGCAGACGACCCCGTTTTCTTATGTCCGTCGCTCAATCGGGGATGGGTGCTGTCTCCTAAAGGAGCGCCAAGGCACCCGACCTCACCTAGAGGGGGCCCGCTGGGAAAAGTAGTTTACCCATTCTTCGTGGGAAGGAAGATGGCTCTGGCGATGACGCACCATGTCGCGTGCGCGCGTGCGCGACTGCCGCTGGTGCTCAGCGGTCGTCTGAGCTCGACTCTACCGGGATCTCAACTGTGGATTCGCTCACACTCAAGGTGGCTAACTTGTGCTGGGCGTATCCCCCCTTCGTACTCCGTGAACTGACTGTCGACTGTCATAATTTGGCGAACCAGAGGCAAAAGAACTGCGCTCGTGCGCGTGCGCGCCCCCTCCTCCTCCTGCTCACTCTCCCGGTCCCATCATCATGCTCACCAACACCATCATCGCCACCACCGCTAGTATCATAATAATCATCATCGTCATCATGATCACCACCATCATAACCCTCATCATCATTGAATCATCATCATCATGGTCAACATCAGCATTACCGCCATCACGCAACATCACCATCACCACCGCCATCGTCTAAATCATCGTCATCGACGCCATCTCTAAGATTACCGACATCATATAATCATCATCGTCGCCATCAGCATCATCATTATCATGATCAGCATCAGCATCATCATCATAATAATCATCATCAGCATCATCATTGTCATCATCATCATCATCATCATCATCATCATCATCATCATCATCATCATCATCATAATCATTATCATAATCGCTCATCATCAGCATCATCACCCTCATCATCATCATCATCATCATCATCATCATCATAAGCATCTGCATTGTCGTCGTCATAGTCGTATTCCTCGCCCATCTCATCCTCGTCATCGCCCTCGTCATCACCATCATCATCATCATCATCATCATCATCATCATCATCATCATAATCGTCGCTGGTAACACCACTATCATCATCAACAGCATTCACAACACCGTCGTCGTCACCACCAGCATCGTAACCACCACAAGCCCATCCTCACCACCCTCATCACCGCCAAACGCACAATAATCAGCATCATTTAAAGCGGGAGCAATCTCACCACCACCATGACCTTCATCACCATCCCCCTCCACGTGCTCGTCCCATCGTCCTCATCATCTCCGTGTTGGGCATCGTCTTCATCACAACCTCCACCATCATCAGCATCATCGCCACGACCACCATCATCGCCACCACCAAACCACCACCTCCATCACCATCACTATCAGCATCGCCACCATACCCTTCCTCGTCATCACCATCTTCACCAGAAACACCATCATCTTCATTCTCACCACCACCATCATCATCATCACCATCGTCATCATATTCTTCATCCTCTTTAAAATAATCACCATCGCCATACCCATCCTCATCATCATCCTCACCCTTCTCATCATCAGCACCATCATCATCAACAACATCGTCATCATCAAGACCACCAGCATCATCATCCACATCATCATCACCACCATCCTCATCAGTATCAGCATCATCATCCTCATCATCATCATCAGCAGCATCATCATAATCATCATCGTCAGCATCCTGATCATCAGCATCATCAGCATCACCATCACCATCATCATCGCCATCACCATCTCCATCACCATCATCAACAAACTAATCCTGATCATAATCATCATGATCCCACTACCCCCCTCCGCGGGCTCCATCCCGCCTCCGTCCCCGTCTGTTCCTCGGCCTCTCCTCTGCCTCCTAGTCCCCCTCCGCCTCCTCCTCCTCCCGTTCCCCTCATCCCCCCTATCTCGGGAGGGATAGGGAAAGGGGCTGGGGGAGGGGGGACGACAAGCTAGGCGCGCTCGAGTCAGATCTGACGTCTACCCCTCCCTCCCATCCCTTACCACGACGTACATATCCTCTCTATTCGCACAGTCGGATGTCGAATCGAGCATGGCAATGATCCCGAGAGGGTGCGCGATGCATCGTGAATCACGGCATAGCAGGGCGTAGAAGAGCACGGCAGAGCGTAGAATGTCATAGCAGGGCGTGGCGTTGCGAAGTGAAGAATTGCATCACAAAGCATTGCAACACAAAGAATGGCATCGCACACTGGCACAGAACCGAACATGGCATAGCATGGCATTGAAGATCAAAGCGTAGCATGGCATAGCATGGCGTGGCACTGCGCAGTCAAGCACAGCCGATCCTAGCATTGCAGCTGAAGGCAGGGCATCGCACAGCGGAACACGATTCGGAACGAGGAGAAGCGTGGAAATGAGGCAAAACCCTGCAGCGGGAGCACGACTCGGAACGAGCGGACACGCGGAAATGAGGCCAACGTTGCAGCGGAAGCGCGATTCGGAACGAGCGGAGGCCCGAAAATGAGGCCAGCGCGTCAGCGGGAACAACATTTTGAAAAAAACTAACAGAAACCCAACTCCCGGGAATCCTGAGAGTTTAAAAACAATACGCGGAGGGGGGCGGGGCATCTTCCGGACGTCATCGGGGGAGAGAGGAACATAGTTTTCATGTGGTGTATTTCTGTAGCGGGAAGAAGAGGCGGGGGGGCAGGAGAGACTCGCTCCCTCAGGCGCGCCGAGTCGCACCTGCTGGCCCCATCGGCGACGGCGGCGCCCCAGACCATTGGGTTGGGGTGGTTTGGTAGATGGTGAGATCAGTGCGCCTTCCCTCGCCCATCCCCAGCACGCGCGCGTCGCGCTCGCGGGCGCACCGGCGCGCGGCGCCGCCCCCGACCGCGGCACCGAAACAGAAATGGCCCCGAGGGAAGGGGGTCCTGCATCTCTGACGACTTACCTACCAGACCACCCCACTCCAATGTGGAGGCCCGACTTTCGAGTTTTGGGGGGTGGAGGGTACGGGCTTCGCATGTGTTTTTGAATCAAATGTTCCCCGACTCCCCCGCCACTGGGAATGGACGTCGACTTGGGGCCTTCGAGTTGGGTTGGGATGGGTTGGTGGGCTTGGGGGGACAGCCACTCATCCCGAACATCCGCTGTCGACAGATCCCGCGCGGAATGCCCCTGGGTGCCCAGAGGCGGGCGAAAAACCTCAGGACCCGTCTCCCGAGGAGGAGGAGATGGAGGAAGAACAGGAGGAGGAGGAGGAGGAGGGAGGGAGGAGGGAGGAAGGAACCCTTTTTGCTCCATGACGACCGAGCCCCCCCTTTCCGCCGCGGCCGCCGTCCTTCCGGAAGGCCCGCCAACACACGGAGACGAGCTCCTTCGCGTCGGCGCACAGCTCTGTCACGGGCGGTGCGGCCCGAGCCACTGTGGCCTTGGTGGCCTTCACCGTCGTCTCGAAGGCTGCTCGGGCTGGCGGGAGGGGGGGGGACAAGACGCGGGAGAGGCCGCGGAGCGGTGGGCGCAAATGGGGAAGCAATGCCTCTGGCACGTCTCTGGAGGGAGGGGAAGGCGACGGAGGGGAAGGAGGACGGACAGGTGGGGAAGTGGAAAGAGTGAAGGGGGGGAGGGGAGGAGGAGGAAGGGGGGTGGGAGGTAGAGGGGAAGAAGGAGCAAGCGGGCAGCCAACCCGACGTCCTAATTCCCCTCCTCCTTCCCGTCGTCGTCGTCGCCATCAATAGCTTCATCATAATCACCATCATCGTCGTCATCGCCACCATCACCCTCACCATAGTCACCAGCACCATCACCATAGCCAGCATCAACGTCATCATCATAACCATCATTATAACCACTGCCAACGTCATCGCCCGCATCCATCACAAGCATGACCACCACCAACACCAACACCACCACAACACTCATACTCATCGTCACCATCAGCACCGTCATCGTCGTCCTGGCCAGCGCCATCATCATCACAGTCGTCATGATCATTACCGCCACCATCGCCACCACAACACCACAACCATCACCATCAGCATCACCGCCATCATCATCGTCATCGTCATGTTCATCAACCAGACCACCAATACAACCACTACCAGCCATCGAAATGAACACCATCACCATCATGACCTCCACCACCACCATCATCGTCGTCGCTGTCGTCGCCGTCGTCCTCCTAGACCGCGCCTTCATGATTCGTCCTCATCACCACCAGCAGCATCATCACCGCCATCATCGACATCACCAACACCACCATCAGCATCACCGTAGTCGTCATCATCACAAGCCTCAATACCATGAACATCACGACATCCATTGCCACCACCAACCTCTCATAATCACAACCGCCATCATTCACATTATCAGCATCATGAGTATCATCATCACCCCCATCATCAACAGAGGCAGCAGCAAAATCATGGTCAGCAGCAGCATCATGAACATATTCATCAACAACATCAGCTCCCTAATAACCACTGCCATCACCATCATCGTCATCATATTCATGATCGACGTCATCGTGAGCATCATCATCATCATCATCATCATCATCATCATCATCATCATCATCATCATCATCATCGTCAGCGTGATCATCATCGTCGACGTCGTTGACGTCGTCGGCGTCGTCGTCGCCATCGTCCGCGCCCTCTCTGGTTACCCATCATCATAGCATCATCACCATCATCATCGTCACCGTCATCATCGTCATCGGCGTCGTCATCATCTTCACCATCCTCGCCACCACCATCATCTCAACCATAGCAACCACAATTATCATCACCAACTCCAGCATCACCACAAGCATCATCACCATCACCGTCGCCACCACCATCAGCACCACCATCCACATCATAACTACCGAGATCATCATGATCATCATCATCATCATGATCATCATCATCATCATCATCACCATCCTCACCAGACGTAGCAGCAGCATGATCGTCATCATCAGCATCATCATCATAATCAGCATCGCCTTCAGAATCAGCATCATCGTCATCATCATCATCATCCTCGTCATCGTCACAATCGCCAGCATCATTGTCATCATCACCATCACCATCAGAAGCAGCAACATCATACCTACAATCGTCGGCTTCATCCTCATCATCATGATCATCAAGATCACCATCATAATCAGCATCATGATCATCATATCAATCACCAACATCATCTTCCTAATCGTCATCACCATGACCGTCCTAGTCATACCCATCGTCATACTAGCCATATTCATAGCCATAGCCATAGTTAGACGCACAGACATCATCATCACCACCCTGACAATCATCATCATCGTCATGGTCATCATCGTCATTACCATCATCGGCATCATCAAAAATGATTACCACCATAATTACCATAGCCATCACCATCCTTTCCATCACCATCATCAACACCACCACCATCATCATCGTCATCAGAAACGTCACTGGCAGCATCATCACCACCACCATCATCATCAACATCACCACCACCATCATCATCAACATCATCATCATCATCATCATCGACGACATCCACCTCCTCGTCGTCCTTCTCCTCGTCAAACTCCGCCCCCTCCTCCTCTTCCGCTGCCTCCTCCTCCTGCTCCTCCCTCTCCTCCTTCTCCTCCACCGTCCACCGTCCACCCTCCTCTTCCCCCCCCCCGCAGGTGACGATCACCTCTCCCAGAAGCCCGGGAGCCCGATGTGCTAAAGCAAGACAGTCCCAGCCAGAAATGATCTGAGAACATCTCGTGGAAACCACCAGAGGCTCTTAGAACATTGTTTGATGGGCCCTTAGGCGAGCCAGGACGCTTCGCCACTGCTTGAGCCTCCGCTCTGCACCCGCCCGGCGCGCGGCGGGGGGGCCCCAGGGGCGGGCCCCCACGAGGGCCCCCGCCGAGGGCCCGCGGGGCGGCCCCGCGAGTAAGGCAACGCCAGGACGAGGACAGCACCGGGTGAGGCCAAGTGTGGAATCAGCCTCCCAGATGGGGTCGGAGTGCCCCGGGGGTCGGCGGATCGCGCCGCATCGGCGATACATCGGCGATACATCGGCGATGCATCGGCGACGCATCGGCGACGCATCGGCTACATCGGCGATGCATCGGCGACGCCAGCGTGAGGAAAATCCGGCTTCGCATCGAGCCCCATCGACGATGCCTCGGCGATGCGGCGCGATCCTCCGACACCATCTACTCCGACCCCATCTAGGGGGCCTAGAAAATGAGCGACGATGAAAACCGGATCATACCCCAGACATGATGGCGTCATAAAAAAAATTCTGCCCTGGGGGGCCCTCGCCGGGCCTCGGGGCCGCCAAAAAACGACTCGTGACGAAGAATCGGTCCCGGATAGAGGGTCGGGACTTCCAGGGACGCCGTCCTGAAAAAATCAGGGCGTCGCATGTCTGGGACAGTGGAGGCCAGTCCGCAAGAAACCTTCCACAAGAAACCCAACCCTGAGACCCCAGGACGTCCATCGATTTCTGGGGTGGGAACGTCACGCTTCCCATCGCAAAACTATCAAACCCAAGGAAACGCAGGGCACCATGGAGGCAAGCAGGGTGTTTCTTGGCATGGACCTCTACTGCAAGCGAGATGGCACAACGACCTTACGCCGCAGCTTACGCCAGCCGCCAGCGCGGCAGGCTACGCTGGAAGCGAGGGCGCTCATGCGCGACCTTACGCGCGCAGCTCACGCGCCAATGTCGGCGCAGACGCGTCGCTAAAATCAGAAATCTCTGAGACCTGGCGGCTTTGGAAGATGTCTCGGGCGGCGCGGCCTTCTCAGAGCGTTCCGGAACGCTCTGATAGCGTTCTGGAGAACGCCGTGGAACGGGCTTCTTCAAGAGGCCCAGGGACACACAAGTAAATACACACAAATCCCATGATTCCCCCATCTTTCTCCATATTTTCTGGAATTTCTCCTTCCCCCCCCACTTCCCGTGTTCTTCCACATCTCGGCGTGGGTATCGACGAAACTTCCAGTTTGTGTGTGCGTTTTTCCCCCTCCTGATTCATGCTCATCCTGGTCCCCCCCGACCGAGGGCCCCCGGCCGAGGGCCCCCGCGAGGGCCCGAGTGACGCCGCGGGGAGGGCCCCCCAGAATGCCCGAGTCGGCTGCACGCAAGAGCGACTCTGAGCAAGAGCGTGGCCTCGAGTGCGGGGGCGGAGGGGCGCAGCGGCCAAATTCAGGTCGGGCCTGTCCCTCAACAAGAGGAATGTTCAAAAATGGTCCAAGAGACAGTCTGGGGACGATTTTGACTGTTCTGGTTATTGTTGCATGCGTTAGCTATTTTTCATTTTTCGTCCAAATCGGCCTGTAGGGGGACATGCCCGACCTATGGCCAAATCCAAGTACGCCAGCAACCATCGTCGCATCGCGATCGGGGGGGACCTCGGTGAGCTCGCACTCAAAGGTCACTCCGGCGAGGGGGTCGCTCTTACGCTGAGGTCAGGCATGTCCTCCTACAGGCGGAATTTGGGAGACAACTGAAACATACCCGGAAGTAGTCAAAGGAGCACGGAAAAATCGTCAGCAAACGCGATGAGGGTGCAAACGCCTTGGACGCAGACTTCGAAGCTTTACGAGCGGAGCGCGGCAAACGAAAGTGGCCAAGGAGGATGGACCGAGGAGGCAAGGATGAAAGGGTACCCTTGGGAGGGATGCCCAGCCTTCTTCCGCGGGTTGGCTTGTCGTCGTGGACCATTCTTGAAATGTTCCTGCTGTAGAGGAACATGTCCGACTGAATCTTACACCTCGCCGACCGAGGGTGTGGCATAGGGGGGGGGTGCAACGACCTGGAATCGGCGACACATCGCCGACAGATCGGAGATAGGCCTCCGATAGCGAATCCGCACCTCCATGGGCAGGCGAAGGGGCTATCGGGCCCCTATCGGTGATCAGTGGGCGATTGGGGGTCGATGCATCTGATGGGCCTGTTTTCCACTACCACTGCCACAAGTTACAGGGGAAGGGAAGGAGATGGAGAGGAGGAGGGGGAGAAGTAGGGGGAGGAGGAGGAGGAGAGGAGAGGAGGGAGAAGGCGGGAGCAGGACCCTCTCCCCCCCTCCTGCTGATGGTGGTGGCAGTGGACTCCCAGCCCATCAGGTTCCCCCCCCCCGCAGTGCCTGCCCCCCTCTGTCGCTGCCCCCGGGAGGGGCTGGAGCCACCTGGGGGCAGCAGGCCGGCGCACCACGCGAGGCCGCCGCCGGGGAGGCCCGGGGCGGCGGCCGCCGCGGCGGAGCTGCCCGCCGCAGAGGACGGCGCGCCTCGCGCCGCCAGTCGTCGTCGTCGTCGTCGTCGTCGTCATCGTCGTCGTCGTCGTCGTCGTCGTCGCTCGTCGTCGCTCGTCGTCGTCATCGATCGTGGTCGTCCTCGATTGTCGTCGTCCATCGTCGTCGTCGTCGCCTCGTCGTCGTCCATCGTCGTCCTCGTCTTCGTCGTCGTCTTCCATCGTCCATCGTTCCAGCGCCGTCGATCGTCCACGGCGTCGTCGTTCATCGTAGTCGATCGTCTTTGTGGATCGTGCCCGACGTCGATTGTCGTCGTCGTCCATCGCCGTCGTTGATCATGGTCGTTCGAGAATCTAGGATCGATAATCGAGGTGCTGGTCGTTTGAGGTTCCTTGGGGGGGCCTCCCGGGACGCGCTCGTTGCCTATACTGAATCCACCTTTGACCTCTGACCAGAGCGCGCACCAGGACAGGTCGGGAACGTCGTTGGTCGTCGGCCGTCGGCGCGCGTCGGCCGTCGGCGCTCGTCGGCCGTCGCCGCTCGTGGTCCGTCGAGAAATGGTCGTCGGTCGTCGTCGTCGTAATTGTCAACGATATTTCGTCGTCGACTGTAGTCCTCGATCTTCGATCGTCGTTGATCGAGGACCAAGCTCTCGGTTAGAGGATCGAGACTCGGGCGCGTCTGGCTCGTCTTCCGACAGGGATGTCGCGCCTGGCGTCGCCTTCATCTTCGCCTCCGTCCGCCGTCGCCGCCGCCACCTCCTCCGTCCGTTGTCGGCCTCGCCGTCGTGAGGGCGAGCTGCCGGAGCAACAAAAAAACAATGATACAGCTGCTCCCTGGACCTGTCCAGTGGTGCGCGCGCTCTGCCTAGGCTCCCGAGGAAAGACCCTCACCATGGCCAACAGAGCCCCGCCTCGGTAAGATGCGTGCTGGCTTGGGACTGTGTCTGGGGCTCGACGCCCACCGCCACCGCCGGCGCCACCACCGCCGGCGCCGCCCGCCGCTGGCCGCAGCCGCCACCCGCCGCCGCCGACGGCGGGCTGGCAGCCGTCGGGGGCGCGCCGGCGGGCCCGCGCGGGGCCTGTCTCGAGCCCGTCGCCCGGCTCGCCCCCAGCCGCAGGCGCGCCGGCGGCGGCGGGCGCGCCTCCCGCCGCCGGCGCGGAAGCGCTGGCCGTCGCCGCGGCGCCGGCGGCGCTGCTGGCCGCACCCGCGGCGTCCTCCGCGCCGGCCTCACCCTGCGCCCAACTGGCCTGCGCCTCGGACGGCCGGGCCAGACGCCGGCTTCGCGGCCCAGAGGGGCAGGCCCCTAGCTTCCTCCTTCTCCTCCTCCTCCTCGTCCTCCAACTCCTCCAACTCCTCCTCCTGCATAGACCTCCCCTCTTCGCGACAAAATTACGACGGGAAGGTTTTGACCCTTCTCGACCCTCACCGGGCCCTGGGACCGTCCGAAAGTTCCCCAAAACACGACGTCGGATATCTGGGTCCTTCTCCTCCTCCTCCTGCTCCTCCTCCTCCTCATCATCATCACAACCAACACCAGTACCACCACCACTATCATCATCAGCTTCACATCCACCATCATCATCATCATCATCATCATCATCATCATCATCATCATCATCATCAGCATCATCATCATTAGCATCATCATCATCAAGATGTCGCGCTCGCCTTAACGACGCGCACAATCGTCTTAAACCTTTCAACCATTGCACGGATAAGGCCAGGACACTCAGAATATGGAACTCTCGCCCGCGCAACCTCCAAGAACTGGTACCAAAAATGTGAGACCGTGCAACTGCCACACGGATGGAGGCCTCGCCGCGACCCTCGGCCCCTCCTCCCGCCGCTCCCTTATCCCGCCGGCAGGCCAGCCCGCGGCGCTTCGGGGGACGCCAAAAACTCGACGCGCCTGCGCACCAATCGCGGACGGCGGGCCCACCCCCCGGGGCGCCCTAAGAGGCCTCCCAGATGAGGTTCGAGGATCGCGCCGCATTGCCGATGCATCGGCGATGCACTGGCGACGTCGCAATGCATCGGCTACGCTGGGCTCCACATCGAGACGCATCGCCGATGCATCGACGATGCGGCGCGATCCTCCGACCCCATCTGCACGAGCCAAAACCTGGGACGCCTAGAACCCGGGATCGGTGCCGCGCGTCCTCGTGGCTTGGCCAGGAAGGCACATGCGCCAGCCTCCCCTCCACGGGCGAAAATCACGACGGAAAATCTTTCGCCGTGTTCGGCCTTCGGTGACCCTCACAGGGACTCGGGACGGTAACAAAAACCGACTCGGGCCAGAAAGCCGGTCCGGGGCAGGGGTTCGGACCTCGAGGGGTCCACGTCGTTGAAAAAATAAACGTCAAGTACCAAGATATGCCGATCATGTGCCCAGGATCTGCCTGGCCAGAATCGAGCAACACCCCGCAGCGCCGAGCCCAATCCGACCGGGGCGCGCGCGTACCACGTGCCGTCCCCAGGGGGCTTGCCGATGGGCAGGAGCCACTTCAGCGGGTCGTCGCCGAGGACCGCTTTCATCCGCAGGCCCCCGCGGGAGGCCCAGAAAGTACGGGGGGGCGAGAAATCAAAACGAACGAACCTTATGATTATGTGCCAGTCTGAACCGACTACACAGGCCCGAAGGTCTTCGGGACAGGCCCGTCCAAAGAGACACAGGGCTTCGGGCCCCGCTCACCGTCGACAATGACTGCCTGGATACAATGAGTACCTACAGATACATCAATGTACTAACAGAACGAGTGTGCGTGTGTGTGTATATATATGAATACCCTGGAACACCGATACAATACTAGTACAATGAATACCATGGAGTACCTATACGCGTGTATATATACACTAATACAATAAGTACTTGTACACATGGAATATTGATCCAGCCACACCTTGGTCACGCTGGGGGCCGTTGGTTCGCGAGCGCGCCTGGAGGGCCCAACACGGTTACTGATGGCTTTTGGGGGGACCCAAACTGGGCCAAGAGGGCTGCAAGACGCCCGCGATGGCCCCAAGACAATCCCAAAGGCCTCCCTTTTGGCCCCAAGACACCCCAAGAGTCCTCCCAACGGAACCCCAAGAGGCCCAAATCGCCAAATTCCTTTTAATAACACGTGCGTTTTCAGCATCAACAGCTACTCGCCTTCCCGACGCTCCAGAACGGCCCAAAACGCCCTCAAGATCGCCCCACAATTACCCCCAAAACACTCGAAAGGCCCCCACGACGGCCCAATAGAGCCCCAAGACGGCCCAAACGGCGCCCAAGACGGCCCAATGGGGGGCCCCGAAACGACCCCCGACAGGCACCGAGGACCCCCACGCAGGCCCCCAACAGGCCCGTTCCCCAAGATGCCCGAAAAAGGGCCCCATAAGACGCCAAGACAGCCCCCAAGAGGGGTCAAACCTGTTTCCGGAATGTACCTTGCAAGCGTTATGGGCCCCCTGTAGTAGTACGGCGATGGCCAAACAATCATTATATGTTTCTCTCAATGTCTCTCTGTCTCTCTGTCCCTCTCTCTCTCTCTCTCTCTTTCTGTGTTTGTTTGTTGTTTCTCTCGTTATCTGTCTCTGTCTCTCTCTCTCTCTCTCTCTCTCTCTCTCCCTCTCCCTCTATATATATATATATGTATGTTTCCTTTTCGCTCCCTCTCTCTATCATTGTGTTTCGTCCTCTACATTTATGCACATCAAAATCTAGACGCACATGCACACGTGTAAGCATGCATACATGCGCACACACGGGCGCATACACACATATATGTTGATACAATGCACACATATATGCACACATATGCATACATGCCCACATGCATACATGCATGCACACACGAATAAATGTGTATATAACACGATGAATGTTCCCATGCCAAGATCCTTTTGTACTTCAGAAGCGCGACATAACCAACCGCGTATTTGTTGAAGTGCGACGGGGCCAGGCGGAACCAGCAACCGAACGACGGAAAATATCTGCACAAACTGGCGGGCGAGCTCCGCAGTGCGGCCCGCGTCCTCCCGCAAGGGCGAGGAAGGAAGAGCCGAACATCGGTGCGGCAATATGGAAAAACTCCGGGCAAGGACGCGGGTGCGTCCAACTGGCCGCAAACGCCCATCATCCAGTCGCGAAAACGACCAACACACTTTAGCGTCCCAGGGCCAGGATATGTTGTACTTTGCGGGGCACGACAAGGCCAGGCGATGTTCTGAAACCACAGGCCGGGCGACGGAAGAGATCTGCAAACGCTGGCACGCGAACTCAACGTTGCGGCCCGCAACAAATCGCCGAGATACAGCTGGCCAGCGGCAGAACATATAACGCAGTAGCTTACAACGCATCAGCGCACGGCTAGGATGTGGAGGACCCGACGGGGCTGGATGAGCAGGACTTCGACGACGGCACGCGGCCCTGGGCCCCCTCATCTGCGCACTTCCACGAACGATATAAGCATGATACTTTTTCTGGGAAATCACGTCGGCCCCGGAACGCCCGCTAAACCCGCGCGAAACGAGCGCGGGGACAACAGGACGACGCGGGGAAATGAATGCTACTTTGGCTCAGCACGGGCATAGCGTCGATTCTCAAGCGGCGCTTCCGGTCCCCGTTGCCGGGTTGGCCTCCCCGTTCTTCGATGCGCGCCGCGGGCAGGGCAAGCGAACACCTTGAAGCGTTCGCGTGGGGCTCTTGCGTGGATGAGAAACTGCGGCCAAAGGCGCGTTTTGGGATGTGGGCGCCGGCCGAACTGCGGCTCCTCGGGCGCCGTCAGAAGCTCTCTCGCCTTTCGTCGCATCTGCAAAACGTCAATTTCGCGGGCCCTGCCCTCGCCGCCTCGGTCGCTGAAACGCGCCATTGAAAAGAATGTCTCTGCCAATTCTTTGACGTCGCACTTTGCGGCCGCTTTGCGTTTGCTATCTCCCTACCTAGGCTCTGCCTACAGGGTTCTTACTCTGTTTGCTTAAAGGGGCCGGGCAGTGTAAAACGCCCCGGGCGGTTCCCCCAGTCCCCGCCCCGCGGTTCCCCCAGCGCGTAGCTTAGCTGAGCTTAGCTTATCATAGCATAGCCCAGCATCGCTTAGCACAGCGCGGCATACCACAGCATAGCCTAGCATAGCGCAGCGTAACACATCATATCGTATCACAGCATAGCGCATCATAGAATATCATACAATAGCCTGGCACAGCGTAGCGCAACCTAGCGTAGCATAGCATATCATAGCACAAATTAGCTTAGCATCGCACCGCGCAGCATAGCATATCATATCATAGCATGGCACAGCGCAGCATAGCATAGCATAGCGTAATGCAGCATAGCATCGCATAGCATAGCCTAGCATAGCGTAGCGCATCTTAGCATATCATAGCATCGCATAGCGCCGCATGGCACAGCATAGCGCAGCAACGCATAGCGTAGCATGTCCGAGCATAACACAGCGCAGCCGAGCGCACTCTAACCTAGCATAGCATAGCAAAACATCTACATAGCACCAGCGTGTCACTAGCATAGCATAGCGCAGCATAGCAAATCATGTCACATAGCATAGCAAAGCGTAGCGCAGCATAGCGCAGCATGTCATATCATCGCAAATCATAGCATAGCATAGCAAAGCAGCAAAAACAAACACAAACCCACGACAGCAACAGCAAAGCAAATCACAAGCAACGCAATGCCAGACCTGCACTGCCGAACAGCCCGCTGCTCTTGCAGGAGCCGCGAGCAGTGCTGAACAGCCTGTTGATGTTGATGTAGCTGTAGATGTTAATGTCGCTGTCGGTGTAGATGTAGATGTTGCTTTCCTAGATGCCCCAACCCCTAGGCAGGGTCGCACTGGGGTAATTTCGAAGCCGAAGCCGCCTCTCCCACAACGACTGCGCGAAGATGTAACGGAATAGCACCTCAATGATTACCCGTCCAAGTTCCACGCGCGGGCGGCACATTCAGAATCCCCAGCGCGCCCAAGGCCCCCAGGCACCCCGCGGCCCAAGCGGCCCAGGCTCCGCGGCGCGACGCCGCGGAAACAACTCCCATGAATCGGCCCACAGAATGGCGCGCGCGAAGTCCTTGCGGCGCGCGCGCGCCGCCAAGCGCGGAAGCGCGTCGGCGCCAACTTCGACGTGCACCCCGCTGAGTTTGCGTCGGAACGCACGATCGCATCATGATTGTTTCAATATGGCCCGCGAACATATTGGCGGCTGCTGGGGCGAAGTGCGAGGCCAGGAAAAGGAGGCGCACTTGCCGGGGGCGACGCCGAAATCAAATAGCAGCGCGAGCCCCGCGCGCCGCGCGTCTGTCTGTGCTCCAAAAGTACGCGCACATCGACTGGCGCATCGGTGAATAACAAAAGCTGCACATGCCAAAATGAAGACTGCAATGGAACGTGGAATTACGCCTCGCACCAACAATGACGGCCACGCGCCCCGCCCGTTCGCGCCGCCAACCGAGGGGCGGCGAGCGGGGGGGGGAGAAAGGAGAGACAGCTACGGAAGGAAACTACGGGCGGAAAGGGGCGGGGGGGGGAAGATGACACCGCGGACAGAAACGGACGGGGCGGGGAAGGTCGGCAGGAATGGGGGGACAGGAGACAGGGCGTAAAGGAAGAGGGGGGGGGTCGAGAGTCGAGCGGGGACTGGGGGGGGGGGAAGAAGGGAGGAACACGAGAAACGGCGGGGTTGAGCAGGGGCCGACCGTCCTGGATTTCCTACGGGCCCACCACGACATGCGCTTGAACCCCGCAGTGTACTAAGAACAAACATAATGTTCTTAGAACCAAAAACGGTGCGTTAAAACCAAACAAGCCCAGGCATACTTCGTTTCAGAACACATCGAGCAAACCGCAATGGGTTCGTAGAACGCTGCGGGCCTATAGGCGAGCCAAGACGCTTCGCCACTGCTCGATGGGGGGGCACTGATGCCGCCATGCCCCCCCCCACCGCGGGAGCTCGCGCCCCCGTCTTGGGGCGGCCCCCCTCGCTCCGCCAGGGCCACCAAAGCGCGCGAGGGGCACTGCGTCAAATCCGGCGCCAGCCCACCGCCGCGCCCCCCGGCGCGTCGATGGGCGGCAGAGAACATCCCCCGAAGCAGTTGCTCCGCATCATCTCGAACGAAACATGCGAGGCTAAGAGATCAACTTGCGAGGCTCGATATGAAACCCACGCGCCTCGCGCGACAAAAACGGCACCCCTCGAGCGACGGCCCGCGCTGGCGACGGCCTCTTCGATGCCGATTGCCGCCTCAGTCTCCGTCTCCACTTCAACGCCCCCCCGCCCCCCTCCTCGCCCTCGCCGCCGTCGTCCGATTCATCTCCAACCGCGCCGCCGCCACTGGCGCCGCGGCCGCCGCCGTCGCCCGCCTCGACGTCGACGTCGCCATCGCAGTCGCCGCCGTCATCTTCTCCATCGCCATCGCCGGCGCCATCGTTTTCATCGCAGTCACCTTCGCCCTCGCCATCGCCGGCGCCGCTGGCGCCAGCGCGGCGGGGGCGAACGCATCGCGCACTGCGGCCGGCCCAGACTTCGAAGCACCTCGCGC